CTTTATTGTCAATGGCTTCCATTACGTACAGACGGTGGAAATCGGGATCCTGGCCGGCAACCTTGAGGCATTCGTCCCATACCAGTGAATGCACGCCGAGTTCTGGCATCCAATGGAATTTGACAAAATGCCGTTTCCCTTCATTGTTGACTAGGACATACGTGTTGACACCGAATCCTTGCATCATTCGATACGATCGCGGAATGGCTCGGTCAGACATAGCCCACATGAACATGTGAGTGGCCTCTGGATGGAGGTAGACGAAATCCCAGAAGTTATTGTGCGCCGTTTGGGCTTGCGGCACCTCATTATGGGGCTCTGGCTTCACGGCATGAACTAATCATCGTTAGAGACATAGTTGCTTCACGATATCCTGACTGGAGCATATACCAAAGTCCGGAAATTTCATAGCATCTTGAATGAAAAATACTGGAATGTTATTCCCTACAAGGTCCCAGTTGCCTTCATCCGTATAAAATTTGACAGCAAAACCTCGAACATCACGAACCGTGTCGGCGCTGCCACGGCTACCCTGGACGGTCGAGAAACGAACAAAGACGGGAGTGGTACGAGATGTATCGGTCAGTACGCCGGCTGAAGTGACATCGGATGCACTCTCCAGGAGCATGAAATGACCAAAAGCTCCAGTTCCACGGGCATGCACAACACGTTCGGGAATGCGTTCGTGGTCGAAGCGGTGGATCTATACAATTGATCATATTGAGCTGGTGTTCCGCGAATTGATCTACCAGGATATCCATACCTTTTCTCTAGCAATCTGGTCTTCTAGCAAAGACGGACCGGTTCTGTGGTCGTCAACTGATTTCAACCAATTGTCTGTATTGCTCACTTTGGTGCCGTGGTCCGTTGTGATTGTCGCCGGTGCATGGACATCAGAGGTGTCGCGGGCAAGATCTTTGATCTTCTTATCCTGTGTCATTCCCTGTACCGCCTCCTTCATTTTGGTTAGACCGCCGGTTATATTAGCCATGGCTTTCAATCAGTGGGTGACAACTATTAAGAGTATCAAATTGGTAGCAACGAACAAGAGATTTGTTCAATCGGAGTGTGATTGGAGCGGAGATGCATTATATTGAACAGCTACTCCGTACAGAGGATTGATTCCAAGGAAGAAAGTGGAAACGTAATCATGACGTTCTCAACAGCTGGCTGCTGGTGTAGCTTCATGGTGATGGTGACAGTGCAGGAAACTGGGAAAGCTGTTTTGCGGACTGAACCCAAATCCCTGAAAACCAAGAGGAGGGGGAGAATACTGCAGATCTAGAGCTCGCTAGACCCCGTTCCAGCACTAATTCGAGATGCGGAGGTTTCACATTCTGCTGATTGTTGTCTGTATAGAAGCAGTCAGTTCCTCTTCCTCCTCCACAGACTGTTGGGGCCTGTGACGATGGGAGGCCTCGGAGAGTCGGGGTCGTCTCGATTCTGAAGGCCCCGTATGCATCGGATTATCTCAAATGCCAACTTGGTTTCCTAGAGTGTCATTTGCCCATCCAAGCATGCCCGATACCATTGCAGACTGTAGCAAAAAGGCGTGGTTGCTCACGAGAAGTTCGGATGAAAATCGCAGCGAGCAGGAAATGACGTCATTTTTGGAGCTGGATTTATAGTAAATCCGAGTTTAAGCTTACGTAAGCATGGCTATGGAGTATAGTTTATCCGAGGGTTGCGTTGAGGCCGAAACCTCGATATAATGACGACGAACGACGAGATGACAGGGAGCAGGGCAGGATGGGGAAAACGACAAAGCAGTACTGCCAGCAGGCTCTGGAAAGTGCACTTACAAGCTACTAGATCTCTAGTAACATTGTTTCGCTCCTTTATGTTAGCCAGAGCTGTCGGCGGAGTGATTACTGGAAGTGATATCCCGCTACAGGTCCATTCAACAGCTGTCTGTTTCCTTTGAAAACGTCAAGCATCTCAGTTTTGCAGCGGGCAATTGATCAGTCTGCAGAGTGTGAATAGGCACCTCTTGGGCCAACAGATGTAAACATGGAAAGGCTACTACCTCTGTCATACAATTGGCTTGGGTGCCACTGCAGCCTGGACTTCCATCGCACCTGACAATGTTCCAAGCTAGCAGCGACATTTTGATAGCCAACAACTCACTTGTTTAGCAACCTGGCAAGTGAATGTTTGAAATGCAGTTCTCGGCGCAGCGACACGCGGATTCTAGCCCTGTACATGTCTTCCCCACAATCTAACTATTGAGCCCGCTTTATATAAAGGCTTTCCTGTCACTCTTTCGCCCCTTCACCCTTCAACATTTCATTTTCTCATCTAACAGACTACCATCTTCATCTACAAGTCCTTCAAAAGTCCCTTATAGGAATCGGCCCAATCGAACTTACATTCACCCTTCACAGTCCGAGACACCCTAAATTGAATCGGGACGCGATGGCAGATGATCCAAAACCAAAAAGACGTCGCCGCTCCCGGAGAGGCAGCGCAGTCAAAACGCAGGGCACATCCCAAGCCTCACCCAAGAAAAATGTCCAATGTCCCGATTGTTCAAAAAGGTTTGTTAACATTCAGTCTCTGAAGCAACATCGGGCCGAAAAACACTCGGAGATGAACCGTAGTGAAGCTATTGTGGGCAATTATGCCGGTAGAGCCGAAGGGGTCAAACATCCGCGCGATATAACCGCTGAAGCTGGGGCAATATTCGAGGCTCGGACCATAATATCCGCCGATGAGCACGCCGGACTTCTGGCTTTGCTTGAGCAACAGTGTCATTCATTGGATGAGCTCCCTAAAATGTATCGATTGAAACAGTACAGCGAGGAGGAGATCGATGGTGTTAGCGTCTGCAAGAGATGCCATGGTAGGTATTTGAATTGATGGTGTTCTATCACAGAACGGAAGTGCTGACAATGCATAGGAATGAAACGAGACATTGAGGGAAGAAAAAGTTGTACTTACCACACTGAGAAACCTAAGCCGGTTGGTATATACAGATTTGCAAGTCCCTGTTTTTATTGATCTGGATTTCTGATCTATGGTATGATGTCTATAGATGCCTGCTGGAACGAGCCAGAAAAAACCCGTCTACAAATGTTGCAACACCAACAGCAAAGGATGCGTAAATGTTCCTACTCACGAGTACATGCTCCCCAGTAAAGGTCTTGCCTCTCGACTCCGCAAATGTCAGCTCACCCCGCTAGACCAAAGCTCCACTGCCCCCAAGCGCGCCGCTATCGCGCTTGATTGTGAAATGGTCGGTACTGTCGCGGGAGATTATCCAGTCAGCCTTAGCGCTGTCGACTATTTAACTGGTGAAGTTATTCTCAACCGCCTTGTACGCCCGTTGGTAAAAGTAACGGACTGGCGTGTGCGCATCACGGGAGTGACCGAGAAAACAATCGCGCAAGACAGAGCAGCACTGGAAGGATGGGAAGCTGCCCGAGCCGAACTATGGGCTTTTATGAACCCACAAACTATCCTCATTGGACATTCTCTAGCCAATGATTTGAAAGTCCTGGGGATGGTGCACACTCGAATTGTTGACTCGGAGATTCTCACAAAAAAGGCAGTCGGTCCGACGTGCAAGCGGGTCTGGGGTTTGAAGACGCTCTGCGAAACATTCCTGGGAATCCGCATCCAGGCCGGTAAAAAAGGACATAGCAGTTTGGAAGATGCACTTGCTACCCGTGAAATCGTCCTATGGTGTACCAAGAATCCGGAACATCTTGCTACTTGGGCGGAACAGAAAAGGGTACAGCTTGCGGAAGAGCGTGCGCTTATCGAACTAGCGAAGAACGAATTGAAGCAAAAGAAAATGGAAGACGGACAAAAGGAGGGGCGGGCACTTCCAATTTTGACACGGCGGTCTGAAGTGTTAGGGAAGAGGAAAGCAGAGACCCTGATAATTGAAATCAGCGAGTCTGAGGATACCGCCGACGATCTTGATTTTTAGCCTCTTCCGTCACGTCAAGGGCGAAAGTTGAGTAACGGCTAACTTTGATGACAATTAGTTGAGACAGAGAGTTTTGAATGTCGAGCTGGCCGTTAATTGTGCGCATTTCGGACTCTCATTTGCATTAACTGCGCTTGACACTTATTCTATGGCTTTTTCCACACTACATTCATAGCAGTAGTGGTTGTTTGTATCTGACCAGACTGCGCTATTTCAGGAGTATGGGGTATATAAGCAATACGGAAAATATGCCTTGAAATGCTAGAAATAGTGCCGCAGTTGAGCACAGGCTCAAACTGAAAAATATAAGTCAGAGCAAATAGGTAGGTAAGAGACCCCAATAACATCATTAGATCATTGCCAAAAACAGAAATTTTGCCCACAACACACCACATGGATGTAAACCTTGCCGAACATGGATCATCATTTGAACGAAATGTATTTGTACACCGGTCTGACATTGAAACGGTTAAAAGGCATATGCTGCTTCGTCTCTTCACTCTTTTTGCCCATGGTGATCCATACGAGAAGAGGGAGAAAGTCTCCAGTTTCTAAACGTCTGGTCGCTTATACGGGCACCGTTGGGGGTTTAATTTTAGGGGCGGACTTGGAAGTGACGGGGTCGAGTCGGCTAAGGACCCACATGAACAGGAATTGCATGATATAGGAGTAGATAAAGAGGAATTGTGTGCGTCTATTGCGCTGCGAACGGGCCACGGTGGGCATGGTGCCTCCACGGATTGGGCCGTCGCTCGAGGAGTCGGGGAGGAGGACGTATTTCAAGGACCGTAGCTGGCAAGCAGATGTGTTAATTCAAATTTCATCGAAAATATTTGGTGCATATGGGAAAAAGGCCTTACAAGGAAAAAGGCATTGGCCAGGAACGTATAAGTGAAAACGGCCCATCCCACCCAACCTCCAGTGCCTCGACCTGGGCTTAAACTTTCCGCTGCGACAAGAGTGATAATAATACCAACGAATTTGTACCCTGAGTAGGCGACCAAGTCCAGTAGTTGAGAGTCATTGCTAATACTGAGAATGTACATCGCGACCTTTAAGCAGATGATCTCAAATATCACAACTGCCAATGCTGTCGTGGTTATCGAGCCTAACAGCTCAGGGTGAAAGCTGCCACGGAAACCGGCCAGCACGGCAGAAAGGAGTATGTAGGTCACCAGTGCCATGGCCGGGATGTACATGTCCGGCGAATTGATGTCATCGCGGGGTGGTAGGTATATCGATGTGTATTGAGCTTGGGATATTTGGCCATTCGGACCTGTGGTCGAGGAGGACAGGCGGCCCTGCTGCCGAGACCACGGCTTGTGGCGCCATGGAAAAAGAACCAGGGCAAGTTTCTTGAGTACGTAGGAATTGGAAACGTTGAAGTAATGTTTCAATGCCGGAATGGAGACATATCGATTGAACTGCACAATGATAAAGTTAGAGTATAGTCTCGGGCACCATGGGAGTATGGGGTTCGTACATTCTGCTCCATATATTCCTGGCCAGCCATCATGGCCGATTTCCCAACCTGAAAGCCCATATGAGCCGTAGGATCCGTAATGAAGCCCCCAAACCCGGGTGCAAATGTGCCGCTGCCCCCTTGTGCGGGCGCAGGCTGGTATGGGTTTCCATAGCTGGATTGCTGCGGCTGTTGCGTCGTAGGAGGCGGTGGTGACCGCATCATTGGTACTGTGGAAACATGCTGAGGAACCGGGTGGTGAAGAGGAGGGGATTGGGCCGGTGGGGGGCCTTGGAAGGGCGTTCGGTGCATGGTGACTTTGAGGTTGTTCGGGGGAGGAAGCTATGATATGAGGACAGATGGCGGAAATTGACTGAAAAGGGTGCGACCCTTGGCCACGGTGTCAGAGGATGGGTTTATATCTGTAAATGATATATCATCTGTACACTGGTGAAAAGGACAATCCCCCCGGCCTGTGCTTTTGATATCAATATCTGTTCAGATTCAGCAGCCCGAAGTTTGAAGATCGCCTTCAGTTGGTCCGTGCGCACAGCTGGAGACTCAACTTCTGATGCAGGGATAACCGCCTCTGATAGACAACTCTTTCGCAGCAACCGCAAATCTCCTAGTTTTGTTTCCTGCTGGGAGTGGACAAGGAACAGCACAGTCAGTATGTTGGACTCTTTTGAAATTATCACCACCTCAGGTGTTGTTCTCTGGTCAAAATCATATGCCCCGGTCGGCGCACATATCGTCAACAGTCTAATCAACACTGTTTTCATTGAAGAGAAGATACACCTCCCTGAAGCCGGTGCAGAGAGCTCTACGCAACAATATAAAAAGGAAAAATATACCTTGAGATGGACGAGGTCAAAGGATCTAGGGCTACTTTTCGTTGTAAGATGCGCACTCTTGAATCTACGCGGCTTGATCCCTCTGACGCTTTTGCGGTCCTAGGTCGTTTACCAGTCTCTTCTGCATTTGACCTGGATCGACGAGCTACTCGAAAATATCAAAACCATTTTCATAGATCTATATAAGGAGCAGCTGAAGGGGCCGAGGTGCAGAGTGGTGGAATATCCGTTCGACCCTTATTTCGAGCAGCAACTTCAAGAGCTGGAGCGCGCCGCGGGATCCTCTATCGAAGATGGGCCTCGACTAATTGTGGAAGATAAGAAAGATACATTAGCCCATGCGGACACAGGAGGGCCACCACCTCCACCGGTTCCCGGTCTCTTGCCTGGTAGGTTATGTCTCCAAGCTGCCCTGGCCTTTCGGATTCTAATATCTTAGTAGTGCAGCAACGAGCTGCACAGGTGTCGGTGGTGTCAGAAGATAGTACGCCATCCATGTCCCCGGGGACCTCGCGATCCGCGTCTCCGGCACGAAACCACATTTTGACAGGGAAGTCTGGGCCTGGCGGGCGGGTTTCAAGGCGTGCTCGCAAGGCTGCCAGTGCTACTAACTCTGCTCAAAATGGCGACACCCCCAAGAAAGGGAAGACTCCGAAAGGTGGGCAAAAGAAGCTGAGGAAATGGGGCGTGGATGGTCTTGCCGAGGAGGATGATGGGGAGATCCTTGACTACTCCGCTTCGGATGCAAATGCTCCCGAGTCGGCGCCAGGAGTTCAAGTTGAAGCAGTTGATTCTAGTAAATGGGGCACCAAAACCTCCAAAGGCCAATTTGTTTTGAAGGATTTAGGAGATGAGGTCCATTCTATCTTGGAAAAAGCAGACCAGCAGAAAACCAAGTCCAGTACCTCCAGTGGCATGGTCAGTTCTGGTCTCGGTGCGATCAGTGGTTTATTCCGTAACGTGATCGGTGGAAAGGTTTTGACGAAGGCAGACCTTGAGAACCCGTTAAAGGCCATGGAAGACCATCTATTGAAGAAGAACGTTGCGCGCGAGGCTGCTGTCCGACTATGCGAGGGCGTGGAACAAGAGCTAGTCGGAAAGAAAACAGGCAGTTTCCAGAGCATTGATGCCGCACTCCGGTCGGCAATGGAATCTTCGCTTCAAAAGATTCTCACGCCCACTTCGTCCCTGGATCTTCTCCGCGAAATTGAGGCCGTAACCTCGCCTCACGATAGGCAGCAAGCTCGCCGACCATACGTGATTTCAATCGTGGGCGTCAATGGAGTGGGTAAGTCGACTAACCTCAGCAAAATCTGTTTTTTCCTCCTTCAAAACAACTACAAGGTTCTCATCGCTGCCTGCGACACGTTCCGTTCTGGGGCTGTGGAGCAGCTGCGCGTCCATGCACGGAACTTGAAGGAGCTGAGCGAGAGGGAAAACGTTGGCCATATCGAACTGTATGAAAAGGGATACGGCAAAGACGCTGCAAACGTTGCCAAAGATGCGGTCGCCTACGCCGCAAGCAGCAACTTTGACGTCGTCCTCATCGACACCGCAGGTCGTCGACACAACGACCAGCGGCTGATGTCCTCGTTGGAGAAGTTTGCCAAATTTGCGGCTCCAGATAAGATTTTCATGGTTGGCGAAGCACTTGTCGGCACGGACAGTGTCATGCAAGCGCGGAATTTCAACCAAGCGTTTGGAACCGGGAGGGGCCTTGACGGGTTCATCATCAGCAAGTGCGACACTGTTGGGGACATGGTTGGGACACTGGTCAGCATGGTGCACGCGACCGGCATCCCCATCGTCTTCCTTGGAGTCGGCCAGCATTACGGCGATCTCAGGGGCTTGAGCGTCTCGTGGGCGGTTGGGCTGCTGATGAGGTAAGCAGTAAGCGCCGGGCTCGCGTCTAATGTCTTGGCGTGGGATGGCGGCGCAATGTCCGCGGCTTGGCGCGTTTAACGGCTTTTTTTTCGCTTTTGTTGGAAGCCAGCAATTCTTGTTTATCGTTGCGGCAGCTAGTTGTTAGGTCTCTTTTGGAAATGTGATTGCTCTTTATCTGAATCCTCTGTGCCGCTGGCCCATCACCGGCCGTTCCTGAATCAGAGAGCCAGCGTTCTTTGTCACCGCTTCGGGCCCGCACATTATCGTCATCATTTCAAGACAACTTCATCCAGGCAGACCCAATTGCTCCGTTACCAGCATGCGCGATCTCTTCTAGCATCTCACTCTGATAATTACATTGCTATCTGAACTGTTCGGACGCTATGGCGGCTCGTCCTCTGGTACCCAGGCGAAAATCCTCCACACCGCGTTACCACACCTTTGAGACGGCGCCACCCGCGTCGCGCGGCCGCCCTCTTCGCAGCGACTCTACCCTCTTCCTCCAAGGATCGGAAACTGAAAGCGATGACGAGAGCGACCAAAACTCCTTCACTGGCACACCGATGCCGATGAGACAAATGGCGGTGCTCGCTCTGATAGCGCTTTGCGAACAGACGGCCCTAAACTCCATCAGCCCTTACCTGCCAGACATGGCCGCTTCGTTTCCAGAAACCGAACATAGCAAAGTGGGAATGTATGTTGGAACAATCGCTTCGTCATTCGCCTTCGCACAGTTCGTTACAAACTACTTCTGGGGCTGGCTCTCGGATCGGATTGGTCGCAAGCCGGTTATCCTGCTCGGGACGATCCTAACGGCGGCGTGCTTTGGGGCCTTTGGGTTTTGCAGGACACTTTGGCAGGCGGTTCTAGTGCAGGTTCTTATGGGAGCAGTCAATGGGAACCAGGGAGTGGTTTCGACGTGTTTGGGAGAAATCACGGACCGCAGCAACCAGTCGCGTGCGTTCACTTATTTGCCCGTGATTTATGGCGTGGGAGGGATCACAGGCCCGGTGCTTGGTGGCCTCCTGGTGTCTAAAAAAGCCATTCTCGACGAGAGATTCCCCTATCTTGGCCCAAACCTCGCCTCCGCAGCGATTTTGGTCTTTGACTTTATTGTGGCATCGTTCTTCTTGGAAGAAAGCCTTGAAAATGCAGTCACGCTTCCTGCTATCGGAAAAAAAGTTCATGATATGTTCACTTGGCTGTGGCAGTTTACATGCTCGACAAGACCGTCCTACTTGAGGAGTAGGAGCTCCTCTGCGAGGTCCAGGCGGCGCAGAAGCTACAACAGCGACACAAGCGCCGACACTAGCAATGTCGAATCGACTACGGCGCCTCTCTTCGGCCACCGGCGGAATCACGAGCAGCTAAACAGCGACGAAGTGCTGAACCGAGACGTGATCCTCTTACTCATCACATACTTGATTTTTGCTCTGTCAAATGTTTCATATAACTCTCTGTATCCGATATTTGGCCAGGCTTCACCGCCGGCCGGCCGTGGACTTACTCCCCAAGAGATCGGCCTTTCTTTGGGGTTTGCAGGCGTCGTCACGATAGCGTTTCAAGTATGTATATTCGGCAAGCTACGAGATAAAATGGGGAATAGGTGGTCGTACCGTGCTGGCCTGTTTGGCTTTGTGATATCCTTTGCTCTGATGCCCTTTGTCGGGTACAAAGACAAGGCCGCGCTGGAGGGTAAAATGTCACGGAGCGGCATTTTGCTTGCCATCGAGCTTTGTGTTGTCTTACTCTTAAAGACTATTTCAGCGGTCGGCGGCTTGACCAGCGCCCTACTCTTGGTATGTCATCATTCCTCCCGGGCTAATATCGAGTGAACTTGCTAACTGAAACCAGATCACAAACTCTGCGCCAGACAACTCGGTTCTCGGCGCCCTCAACGGCCTCGCACAGACCCTTTCCGCAGCCGGTCGCGCAGCCGGACCCTTCTTATCTGGCAGCCTGTTCTCTATCGCGATGAAAGTGAAACCAAAAGGGGAAGCGCTCGCCTTTGGTGTTTTTGGCGGTATCGCGTTCCTTGGGTTTCTGCTTAGTTTCGGGATTCGATCTCGAAATTTAGAGGCAGAGGGATGGCGAGAACCGAGCGACGGTGACGACGATGACGATGATATCAATAAATCTGATGATGATGAAAATGGGCATGCTACTGTTTGACATAAAGAACTAAAAGGACAGTCCGTCAATATAGATCTTAGTGTACTTATGAAATGTATATATTTTGGCTCCTGTGTATGTATTGGGTGCACTGTACCATTCAAGAGAGCGTTTTGTTGGGACGAATGTATTGATGCTTTTTAGCGGGATGACGAGGATTAGTGGAATGCGAGCTGTTCTTTTGCTACGCTTGTTCCTGTTTTGCTGGACCTGTTTCCACCTCACATTCAAAAGGTCTCTGAAACCGTGGACCGAAGCTCTAGGATGGAACATGTAATAGAAGGTTTACATTGTAGAATATCCATGATTTATCAAAATGAAATCAATCTGAAACTAGATGGTATCCATGCATGCCAAACTATGACAAAAAGAGTCAATCTAGAGTCCTATGCTGGTTGAATAGTAGTATGCCCTATAATTCTGAAATTGTATATTAGCTTCAGACTCATCAAACAATGAAGTAAATGACAAGTAACAAAAATGGTTGTCCTCAGCGATCTTGGTGTAAAAGGAAATATCATTGCCCGTAGGCATCATTTACTATCTAGTGCGTTTGTGTGTCATCACAGACAAAATGTAGCAGAGTAAATGTACGCGAGGTTGGTTTACCTTTGTTTTAGTAGCCTAGAGAAGCATTCTTTTTTCGTAATATAGCTTACAAGCCTTCATCCAGAGAGTCCATTTACTCATGAGGTATGAAGCAGAATAGGCGCATGGCAGGGGCCTAACCAAGTTACCTAGAAACCGAAGCTTGAGTCAGCCATTAAACCCGTACGACAAGCCTTGATAGATCATAATCCAGAACGAAAACAGAGTCAGAATATGTAAGAAAGTAGCTATCATTATCCAGCCATTGCATACGAAACCCAGGCGGGGGCTTCACAATGGTGGTTCAACCGCAAATTACCGCATCATTAAAGGAACCAGCTGGTGAGACGAGAGAAGAAGTTCAGACTTACCAGTTAGTAGGTGGACTCAGATGGTCGACCACCATCGATGAAGCACAAGAAGATGATGTTGGTTGAAGGAAGAAAAAGATTTTCGCGCGGAAGAAAGAAGGACTAGCGCCAACGAACCGGGGGAGGGCGCTAAACCCAGAGCGGAAGCCCTAGATTACGTTAGCGTAGGGTTAAGCGAGGGAGGGTTTTGTGGGCAAACGCTGAGTCTCCCGAAATTCGCGGTGCAAGATATCGACAACGACCATCCGACACCTAATCCAACGACCAACTAGACCGGTGGATTGTGAGCGAGCCCCTTCCCCGTGCGCCTCTTGAGGATTCCAACCGACTGACGATTTTGTGCGCCCAGGAAGCCTTCGCCATGACTCAGATCGATATCAAGACCTCGTCATGGAAGCTCGTTGAGGTGGGCCGCGTTGTGCTCATCCGGAGCGGCCCCTACTCGGGCAAATTGGCTGTGATCGCTGAGATTATCGACCACAAGCGCGTATGTTTTACCCGCCGCTCGAATTGGGACACCTGTGACATTAGGAACCCCGGATTCTGACGAGATTTCGCTCCTCTAGGTCCTTGTCGATGGTCCTTCGGGTCAAGAGAACAAAGTCGTCCCTCGCCATGCCATTTCCCTCGCACACGTCACCCTGACGCCCTTCACCATCCCCAAACTCCCACTCGCTGCCGGCACCGGACCGATCAAGAAGATGTGGGAGAAGGCTGAGATCGACGCGAAATGGGCACAGAGTGGTTTTGCGAAGAAGCGGGAACAACAAGAGCGGAGACGCAACCTCACCGACTTTGAGCGCTTCAAGGTTATGAGACTGAAGAAACAGGTTCGTACGACCCGGCTATCCAGGCATCGTGTGGAATTTGCACCCGGTTGGGGCTGCAATAGTTGGAAACTACCAAAATAGCTCGGCTGGCTAATAAATACGTGCTTACAGGCTCGCTATGAGGTGCAAAAGGCACACGCTAAGATCCGCGCTGCTTCGTGAACGGGGTGAGGAAGACAATACTGGGGTGGTGGGAATGGCGAATGGGTTGTTTCCCCTGCTTGTTGGATGTTGCCCGATTCCCATTCAACAATTACAGCTGGAATCAATGTCATTCCGATCTTGAGAACTGACACTTTTCCAAAAAACTTCTTAATGAATCGGAATAAATGGCTATGGTCCTTGACAACTTCCTGTTTGTACTTGTCTAGGAATCCCAATACCGGTGGGCTTCTGGCGCCTGTGGGTATGGTTTGTAGCAACGTGATTACAATTTGCAATAAATGCTGTAGAATTCATGAATAACATGACATACCCACGATTCTTTAATTTTGCCTGGAACATCAATCTACGCGTTGTAGTCTTGGGAGGCCTAGGCGTGTGAATAAAGGCCTTGGGGGTTGGAATCTCGCTAAACGATATTCGGCAAGGCCCCCCAAAGCCCTCGATGTATTCAACCAGCTACACACACCTCACATAACCCTCCCAGCATCACAACCCGGCACCGTCAAGCTCTCGATTCAAAGCCTTCTTCTGCCAAGGTAGGTTGAATTGGATTTTCTGCCATCTTTAATTACCTCCTCTGGTGTCGCTTTGACGGAGCGCCAGGATCTACGCAAAGGTTCAATTGTGTGCTGTAATTCTGACAACTCGCGATACAGCTCCCATAAGACAACCATGGCCAACCCACGAGTAGAAGAACTCCCTGACGACGAGGTCCCAAAGACCACCGTCGAAGACGCCGGCGAGAGCTCCGAATCGGAAGCCGAAGCTGGCGAAGAGCCAACCATCCCCGGCGGCGCTGCCATCACCGTCCACTCCCGCAACGAGAAGAAGGCCCGCAAGGCAATCGGAAAGCTGGGATTGAAGCACGTCCCCGGAATCACTCGTGTCACTCTCCGCCGCCCCAAGAACGTAAGATTTGAACTACGCAGATAAACAATCGCTAGGACGTTGCTAACTAGGCCATTGGGTAGATTCTCTTCGTCATCAACCAGCCAGATGTCTACCGCTCGCCCTCCAGCAATACCTGGATGTATGTCTCTCCGCTTTTCCATATCTATTTACAGTGGGTAGGCCACAGTTTGCTAATCGGCTCTGTAGCATCTTCGGTGAGGCCAAGATTGAGGACTTGAACTCCCAGGCCCAAGCGTCTGCCGCCCAGCAGCTCTCTGCCGCGGAGGCCGGAAACGGAGAGCACGCGGGCCACGAGCACATCGATCTCGGCAAGGGAAAGGCTGCTGAGACTGAAAAGAAGGAGGAAGAGGAAGAAGAGGAGGGCGAGACTGACGAGACTGGTCTTGAGGCGAAGGATATCGAATTGGTCATGGCCCAGGCCAACGTATCGAGGTCAAAGGCCATCAAAGCACTTAAAGAGAACGATAATGATATCGTCAACTCTATCATGGCGCTGAGCGTATGAGGGGATCGGGCCTTTTAGCAGGCAAAAATCTTCGTGTATGCTACTTGGGGAGTAACCCTCCTGTTTAATGGCTTCGGGTTCTGTGGATGTCTACGAGGCGCACGTAAATCGGACTTTAAAAAACCATTTAGGTGAATGCCATCTGCATAGATCTTACAATTCAATGCTTTCTCCCCTTCTTCTCATCTCTCATTTCCTCAGATATCAGTTTGGGCCAAGACTCGCGACAGTGGGTCACGTGACTCGCCAGCCGGGCTTCTGGCAACAATCTCTCTCGTTCAACGTCTGGCTAATCGGTATCACCCTTCAACCACCACGCACACTCCACACATCGTCGCAATGGCTGTAGCAGTAAGTCAATAGGCCATGCCAACCCACATGGCTACCTTTATTCCCGCCATTGGAACGATGCCACTGACAATCCCGAACCCTTCCAGCGCAGCGCAGCTCTCAAACTCGACTGGGCCAAGGTCTCCGCCTCCCTCGGTCTCCGAGGAGGCACCGCCGCTTCCCTCCAGGCGTTCAAGAAGCGCAACGACGATGCCCGCCGCAAGGTGCAGACTCTCTCCGAGGCTCCGCAGGACATCGACTTTGCACATTACCGCGGCGTCTTGAAGAACAAGGCCATCGTGGACGAGATCGAGAAGCAGATGAAGTCTTTCAAGCCCCAGACCTACGACGTCAGCCGGCAATTGAAGGCCATTGAGGCATTTGAAGCACAGGCCGTTGCGAGCGCCGAGGCTACAAAGGGCAAGGTTGAAGAGGAGTTGAAGTATTTGGAGAAGACGTTGGATAACATCGAGACCGCCCGGCCATGGGAAGAGCTCTCTGTGGTATGTTCCTGTGCAGTCTAGATTTTGCACGTGAGTATGGGTTACTGAGTCGATTTTCTCTACTTCTAGGACGACATTGTCAAGGCTCAACCCGAGATCGAGAAGAAGACCGCTGAGTTGGTGAAGAGGGGTATCTGGGTGCCACCAGGCTACAAGGTTCGTGCATTGGCCGATGCAGTGGCTAGATATGATGCTGACCTATCTTTTAACAGGAGAAATATGGCGACCTCTCCTTCTTATAAATTATCATTGCATCTGCATTGGGTCAAGGTTGGGTTGTTCGGCCTCTGTAGCAGTTTCAAAGATACAAAATCTGTGCAATCATCCTTGGCCTGTCGATTTATATTTTCAGAGAGCATTCCAGTTCCCTGGAATTGTATAGAATAAACCGTTTTCTTGAATCAGACGATTGTGCCTTGTTCTATATTCTCAGCTCATTTGCCTGTTGGATTGTTGCGCCGTTTCAATATCGTTTCCCCCGGAACCTCATGCCATGTATCGACCAGTGACAGTGGCCCAGAACCGGTCACAAGCGCGGCAGGAGATATCCGTAGCTACTTGTCTAGATGTGTCCAAAACCCACCACTTAAAACATCAACATCCATCCAGGGCTAATGCATGTTTCACGCATCTCGTACTAATTAGACGGCCTCCGGGTCAGCCGTTTTGTTGGTTGAATACCAGAAACCCGGACAAGGCACTCTTCGCCAACCCCTCATACCCAGTTATGAGTGTCTCCCAGGTTCATCTTCCGCAGTCAATCGACATTGACTGCCACTTCTTGTTGGCTACACGGGTCATAGAGCAGAGCTCATCATAGATGGTATGTGTCAGATGGCTAGTTTACAAAGGATTACGCCTAGCTTGAGGTTACGCCTCTGGCATTCTGGGGCAGTGAAAAGACTGTACAATATTCACCTCACCTCCACGGGTTCTTGTCATCAAAAGGGGCCAGCCCCATCAGGAGGGAATCTGATGAGAGAGAATCAAGCTCGCGATCCAACATCTGGATTACAATCGTTGGTGTTAGCACGGGCATTAGCGGGGCGATGATTTCTCCGCCTTTTGAAGACCGTGATTCCAAATTCGACATGGCTGGTGCCAATTCTTCTAGGCGCCGTCGGGGCAACCAAAGACAGTCGATTATACTTTCCAACGGCCGCCGCTAAGCAGTCTTTCGATTGGAAACACATTGTTATGCATGTATTTCACCCAAACATCATGTCCGCGGCGGAAGACTATCCCTTTTGGGACTCATGCGAAGATTAGAGCGGGCATCCCGAACTCCGGGCCGGTTTTCAGCGGGTTTTGGAAGGTTTAATCGATTGCTGTCGGCCAACATGTTGGCCGATGGTTAAAGTCTTGTAACTCTGGATTAGTGCCCAAAAGCCGTGGACAGGAGAGGATGTAGCAGAAGGGCCTGAGCAGATGCCTTTGCACATCATTTCAGACTGTTGCCCAAGCAGCGTGGGGGAGCCATCTGACGTAGATGCAGTGCTGCAAGCGAAGAAGATCGTCACACACCATGAGCTGTGTAGATTTTTAATGCTACGTTAGTGGGGAGGGACAGAACCGAGTCAGATTTCGCATCGGTGCCGAAGAGGCTATCCTGGGCGAACGATGGGTATCGTGGGTTCATTACTGGCAGCAGGAATACAATCTGCAGCGCTGGAGACTGAAAGTATGAATCAGTGCTATCAGATCCCTGCTCCAGGGTGTTTTGGAATTGCAGACGGAGTGATCGTGCCGACTATCCCCTGCCAGAGCGCCTTGAGTAATCCAGAGAAACTGCTCGATGCAGGCTCGTTTAAGCACCAGACCCAGAAACTCGTCAGGCGGCCCGAACCAGCTGTCCAATCGTGCGCTGCTGGCATGCATGAAATCAGAGCCCACCGCCTGCAGCCGGGCGTGCAATCGAGCCGTGGGAAGCCAATCTGCACCCTCCAGTCCACCTCCACGCGGATGACGAAAGGGAAGCGGACGAGCGGTGTGCAGGGCAGCATTCGATTCAACGGGGCTGCAGCGTCGACAGACAGCGTCGAAGCAAGAGACCCGACAAACGGGTTCAGCGGCCGTGTTTGGCTGGAATCCTTGTAGCAAAACGGACTGGTCTGGAGAGTCAGCTAGTTAACTTGTCATAGTGAAGCCACATTCCCAGGCGGCCGGGTCGCTAAATCCCAAGTCGTCGGGTTGTGCGTGCGTCGTTGCTTTTTGCGCTGCTCTTCTTCACTCCTAAACGAGCGGCCTCCGCGCTGCCGCGGCCCGCAGCACCGATGCTCTGTCTGCTCCTGACTCGTTACGCTTTCTGCATCCCTGCTGCGTCTCCTCCTGCTGGCCGGGATCGTGCTCCAGCCGTCGAGGACATGCCAAATGTGGCGTCTGCAGCCGCTCTGCGGGCAGGGCATCCAGCGACAAGAGCCAGCACCGCGACTTCAAGTGCAAAGTTAAATATGCCACAAATTACAATCCGATGAAGGGACTGCTCGCGGATCCTGATTTCCTCCCCCTCGCTGCCGGCCAAAAAGGAAGCTTGGTAGGCACCGCGCGCCGGTGTTGTCCGGCTCATCTCCGCGCCACAAGCCCCATGCTGGCTGAATCTCATTTCTGATGACACTTTGAACCCCCAGAAGGTTTATTCTTTTTTTTTTCTGTTTTATTTTTCCTTTTCGCCTTTGGATCTGCTGGAGAAGAGACCCCGCAGTGTCGCACATCACGGGATAATTCCCATTTTGCTCCGTCTGTTCCGCGCAGCAGCATGGCTGCTCTATAAATTACGATGCGTCGAATCACCCGAGGGACCCAGCCGTGTCTGCAGTGGGATCCAGTCCCCTCTGTGCTCTCTGATCTGCGGCTGGACGGCCCCAGGCAGACTGCCAGCAGGCTTTGGCGGGTTCCGTGGGTGCGGATGGACCTTAATTCTTAGTTCTTCCCACTTCCCTGGCGCTGGCTTCGTATATCCTGACCCGGTGTCCGTCCTGTCGGATCCTCATCGCCCCCTTTATACAGAGTAACCTATACAACTCACTCAATGGACCTGCGCGCACCATCTCACCGGGCCAGCACCGGATGGTCGCCAAAGTCCTCCTCTCCGGTCGACACCCGTGCCCCTATCGAGCGGCTCCCCGTCGAGCTCATCCACAAAATCTTCTTCCAGAGCCTAGAGTTCAACTTCCCTCGAGCGTCGATACACGTAGCCGCCGCCCTCGCCAACGAGGTCATCTACTCGTGGCTAATCCGTCTGGCCTTTAGCAGCAACAATCCCTCCTCCAGCAGCGGAATACTGATTCGTCCGTTCGTGCCAATGAGCTATTTCTCCATCGGGATGAAAGAAAGAACCGATCTGCAGACAGAGATCCTACGGTGTAGGTGGTGCACCATATCGCTAATGCGTAAATGCCAGCGCGAATACGTCGAGCACGTCCTTCGTCAAAAGTGCAGAGACCTCGTCATGTCCGACGCAGACCGGGCACAACTAGACAACCTCGACGACTATTGGCAAAACATAGACCCCTTTGACAACGCCACGCACGGCAAACGGGGTAAGGGGGACCTCGTCCTCTCCGCCAGACACCCCCAGTCGGACGTCAACCTCAAAGTGTCCATCTGGTTCAACTTTGGCGCCGTACAGATCAGAGAACCCAGCCCCGTCTTCCAAGAGACCGACGTCTTCCGCCTGCCCGCCTGCAGCCTCACAGACCCATGCCGCATGCCAGACCGACTCCTGCGCACGCCCTGGACGGAGGAAAAGCTCGAGCTGCTCACCCTCCTTTCCAACGAAGCGTACATCGACGACGATGGCAATTTTGAACGCTCCAAGGCCGTCGTCCGGCAGCTAATCGTCGATCGGGACTTTGCAACTTTTCAGCGTCTGCTGTCGCTGCACATCCGCGTCAAGATCTATTCGTATCCCCTCCGTTGGCCCGTGCGGTCGAATAATTTTAGAGTGGCGGCGCGATATGCAAAGTCTGACAAGGATCCGTTTTTGACTCTGTTGTTCTCTGAGCACCGAGATGAGATACCGACGTCCGACAAATCCATCCGGGCGTTGCTGGCGAAATATGAGCAATCGTGATTGATGACCGCTGTCCCGTCCTCGTAAATGGTCGGATGGGAATGACTATGATGATTATGATGATAATGACTATCTTACATGCCAGCACTTAATGCACTGCATGGTTCGTCTTGTGCGGCGATTTTGCATTGTGGCGATTGAAGCCTTCATCACACCAAGCCTTTGATCAGGACAATGTTTTATATATCGTTCTGTGTCGCTTTGTGATTTAATATGCCAAAAAAAAAAAAATGTAATGAATGACCCGTCGGAGGCGCAAGAGCCTGGTCTAATGAAAAACGATTATAGAAAAATCAATCCCAGCCTGACCACGATTTATACGAGGTTTCTTGCAATTCGTGTAGCCAGCTAGTCCACTTGCTTCCAAACACCTGTTCGTAGTCAGGCCCGTACAGCGGACAATACGACTCAAAACGACGGTTAATCGGTTCTCTCTCTTCTTGGCTAAATAGCGGAATGTCCCTCATAAAATTTAGCAGCCAGCCGCCGAAAGCCACTCCTTTATCCTGTAATTCAATCGCCCATTCCGTAAGTTCGGGGTCATCCGGTGGAACCGACATTGATGCTGCACGCACAAGGAGGACAAGAATTGTAATGGCATGCCCCCCCTGACGTGAAGCCAAAACGAAGTATTCCCCTGGTAAAGTATAGAGCTGACGATAATCTAGAAGTGAGTGATAGGATTCATCCAGCTCGATCAGAGCACGCAAGGCACGAATATTGTGTTCTAAAATTGCGGAACGAATCCCCTCCTGAATTGATTCCCGCGATGCCAGTGCGTCCCACACCTTTAGCGTCTTCACGTTCCGGATATGCTTGCGGAGGAACTCTAAGAAATGAACCTTTTCATCCGTCCAAGGAGTCCCGCGAAGCACCTTGTCAGGTAGCGCCAAAACCTGTAGCGGAGATAGATAAGGCTGTAAGATATCAAATTTGTGGCGAGGATTGACAAAATTGTCAAGGTGAACTTGCCAGATATGACTTAAAGGGGCCTTTTTATATTCACGCTTGATGAAATCCACATCGGCAGTTGGTATTGCGTCCGCTCCAGAGAGCCATCGACAAAGTGACAGTTCGATCATATCCCCAACCAAAGACTTAATACGCTCAAACGTGCACCATCGGCAGTCCAGGACTAAAATCTGCAATGCCTGGCGTTGAAGAGCGTCCATGGGATTGTATTTGAATGGGCGTAACATTCTCTCGAGCATTGCTGTCGCGGTTCGATCTGCTGGGTCTGGGTCACTCCAGAACGATAACAGAATCAAGCCGCGGTAAATCAGATCTGTCGACAGAACAGCACCAAGATACGGAGACGCCCGTGGCAGATCAAACTCAAGGCACTCTAAGAATATCTGCTCGATCAGTTCAGCGGGAAGCGATTCGAGGCGCGAGAACCGCCTGGGATCCCGACTTTTGGATCTGTTCCTTTTAGCCTTGGACGTGGCTCGGAAACCTTTCCTTTCTAAAGATATTGGTGACTCGCGACTGAGGCTATCTCTTGAGCTCGATGGGCTGTCAGCCACCCCCATGGGTTCCAGCTCTTTCCTTGGCCGTTTCCTTTTCCCCCTAACTTTGACAGGGGTCAATTCCGACGTTGGAAGACGATGGACAGCATTTGAGAAAAGAGGAGCCATGATACTGCTCTAAGTTAACTTGTATCTCCCTTGCTGAATAGTATAGAATCTTCCTGGCGACTGGAGTCTCGCGTGTCTTCGAGACTCGGGCTAAGAGTCTGAATTGAAATCCATAAGCATGGCCCAGTTCTGCCCCTGATAGTGACAATTAGCCGTTAGTCGCCAATACACAAGGTAGCGGAATCGACGCAACGGTCAGGCCAACTCACCGTCCGGCACTCGACGAGATACGATGCAGCTTTGCTCAAGTCGTGCGATGCTCCCAAAAGAGAAGTGTTTGCCTTGTTTGCAGGCCAAATTTCCGCTCGCCGCTGATTGGCTACACTTTCATCATGACGTAGATGTACGCTAGACCGATATGGGACTAGTGGAGTAACTAGCAATGACATCATCACGACTGCTGACATCACGATGGCTTCACGTTTGGACTCACAGGTGCAGAATTCGACAGGGATTCGGCGTCATTGGAGCGTGATCACCATTCCATGTGTTTCTTGCTTTGGAAAGAGATTCCATTTGGCCCCCCGGGTTTGGTATCTAAAACAGCTTGCTCAAACAAGAAATCCGTTAGAAAATCCCCCAAATGAAGTCATATGCAGTCCATCAGGGGGGAAGGGTTGATCGTGAAGCGAGCTCGTTGTCCCTGGAAAATATGTATATATAGGAGGCAAATTCATCTTGTAGACCCTTCCTTCTTTTCCTTTCCTAGCATATACAAAGATCAAGACCACGGGTCAAAATCCAAACTGAATCTACTTTTGCAAACGATCTTGAATATAAACCGCGAATATCAAAAAGAAATTCCTCCCCTCAACATGGGTGCTATTGTATCAGTTGTGAGTTCTATCACTGCAATATAAATGATCCCCAAGCTAACCTCCAAACTTAGTTCCACGCCATTGGCGACTGCCTCATGGCCATTGTCAGCGGTATCGCATCCGTTCTTACAGCAATCGTCGGCGGTGTCGTTACTGTTCTCGGCGCCATCATCTCCTTCCTGACCTGCGGCTGGTACTCGAGACGACGAACCCGACGAACACATACCTCGGGCGGAATGGGACGGCGTCACCGTTGGGGCCGACGACCAATGCGAACCGTATAAAACAGGTTGTCCTTTTCAACTATCGAAACGAAAAGCTCGATGCTAAACGGCAACACTTGATTTGTCCTTATCCGCAAACCGACCGATAATGAATTATGCCGATACCCAACTTGCTCCTGCTATACTTCTTGTAATATCTTCCAAAGTTGTTCTTTGTGCGCTGTTCGAGCCCAATATCCGTTGATAGTTTGATGCGTACTGTGCAATGTGTTAGCGCCATGATTTATTAGATTTTGACCTTTAGCCACAATTCAATACCTATGTTCCACGACTGCCCTCCTTCACATTAACTCGCATTTATAATAAGTGAAAGCTTCCGCAGTAGGTTCCAAAATATGATCAAATATTCTTGAGGATCTTTTGTATGCCCCTGGCTTTACCACTGATTGATGGATGATACCCCGTTTCCACGACCCCTTTACACATTTCCCAAGCACCCCTGCCGTCCATTTTAGCGCTGTCACCTTTTTGAATCGGATAATCCAAAGTTGGGGGTATCTTAGTCTGTATAAACGGCCAACCGTCGACAGAGACGGCTTTGAGATTGCTCAAGTTTCTCAATCCTTCCGCCCCACCAAATCGTCCATACCCACTCCCTTTCAGTCCGCCAAATGGCAGGCCAACGGCATAGTAGACACCAAAATCATTAACAGCCACCATGCCAGCGTTGAGGTTTGAGACGCAATACTCCACTTCTCGTTTGCGATGCCCAAAGACACTTGCTCCGAGTGCGTATTCGGTGGAGTTCGCGATGCTTACGGCATCATACACATCCGTGGCGCGCATAAGCAAAAAGACAGGGGCGAATAGTTCCATTTGCGCAACTCTCATCTCTCGAGTGACATTGGCGAGAAGCGTAGGAGTGAAGTAATGACCACGCGGGTAATTAGGGTGGTTGTGTCGCTTTCCACCACATATGAGTTTTGCTCCCTGTCCTACCGCTTCCGAAATGAGAGCTTCCAAAAGGTCAAAGGATCGCTGGGAGATGACAGCACCAACGTCAGGGGTGCCGGGTTTGTGATCCGGGTCATGCTTGGTTTGCCTTGAATCTAGGAGTACTGAGCCAAGACGAAGTGCTTTTATCCGCGGCGTGACAATTTCAAGGATCTTGTTATACGCACGAGGAAGCGCAATAATCCGTTCTGCACCAACGCAGTTTTGGCCCGCGGATTGGAAGACGCCTCGCAGGAGAACCGATGCGACACTCGCGATGTCGTTCAATGTAGAAGGATCATCCAGGACAATTACGGGATCTTTCCCTCCTAATTCGACAGTCACTGGCGTAAGAGACTTAGCTGCTGATTTGCAAACCGCATGTGCAACGGGGCGGGACCCAATGAAAACGATATGGTCAACTTTAGGATGCGATGTTAAGACGTCGGCGTGTTGCGGTAGACAGACGAGACTTTGCACAAGGTATTCCGAGTAGCCGCAGCTCACGATAGCTTCACGAATAAGGTTGTAGAAGAATGTCGAGGACCACGCTGTATGTTCTGATGGCTTGACAATGATCGAGTTTCCGGCAAATATTGCGCTAATGACTGGGGAGATAAAGTTGTGGAATGGATAATTCCAAGAAACGCAGGCGGTAATAACTCCAAGCGGCTCATATCGAACGGTGTTTTTCTTGTACATCATTAACAAATTCGTAGGCCGTGAATCAGTGCGAAGAGAATTTTCTCCGTGGTTAATAGTCCACTTCAGCTTTTCTGCAGTAACAAGGATTTCGCCAAAACAAGCATCGACTTTAGTTTTCCCTGAATCCAAACAGCAAGCTGTGACGATTTCATCTTGGTGTTCTAGGATATACCTAGGAGGATCTGATCAGCACATGTTCTGAGACAAGTTTCCGGAACACGCGCGGTACGAACTTTAACAATGTCCTCAAAACTCTTCTCCTCTCAGCAAAAGTCGTCCTTTTCCATTTAAACTGAGCAACAACTGCCCGTCGAACCGTGAGGTCAATCTTTTCAGGAGACGCGGGTTTCACGCCATTCTCATCCCCAAGCAAACGGCCGTCGGCGGGACAGTAGCTAAGGATTTTGGATTCATCAAATTTCTATATAGTGTCAGGTAGCAGCGTCAGCGTCGGGGTTCAACATCAAACGAAAAAACACAGCCTGAGCTAGGTACCTACCCCAAACGATTGTGACTCGAGAATTTCCTTGTCCGCATCATCAACTTCGTCCCACGCCTTTCCTTGCCAGTCGGGCGACACTTCGGGAGGAAGAGGAACTGTGAAGCTGACCGGACGTTCCCTCCAAGCGAGCGTATAGCTATAGGTAGCTCGCGCGGCGATCCAGGTGCTCAGGAGGACGAGGCCGGAGCTCAAAATTTGTGCGAGAGTCAAGCTCAAGCATTTACTAACGAACGACTGGACGGCCTCCATGCTTGCTATGCCCTGAATCTCACCGTCGCTTCCCGCAATCCACACGCAGGCGGTGCCTGTGTTTCGAAAGGAAGTTCGATCCCTGAGACGAACTCGAAGCTCAGATGTCAATTTTCCGGATGCGGTTAGCGACAACATTGATGAGTTGGTGCCAAGACGTCACTAAGCTCAAACTGCTTTCCTAGCGCGCCAAGGCTTTCCGCCGCGGAGATCGACCTTCGGAGGATATCAACGGTCAACAACAGAGTATGAAGGAGGTAGAATAAGACAGAAAGCAGCCCATGAATGAACTCTCTATCTACCCATCTCATCGCAACGGGGCTTTGCAATAACTGCTCCATCAAACGCCATTTCTAGATGATCTGCCCTTGAAGCTCCTCGTGAGATTTTCGGAAATTTATCATACCGGAAGCTACTTTTCGAACTACCACACAGAAACAAGCTCTCAGAGGGCTAATTTTGTTTGAACAAGACCCGTTTTGCTCACTTTTCTTTTCCCAGTTCGTTTCACCAAGTGGTCAATAACGCATCCCTTCTCCCATCCCTCACTCGACACTCCTGTCATTGCTCGGCACCTCGGACACTCCTTTCCGTGGAATATAAACAACTGATGCAGTGAATATTTGAGATGATCGGGAACTCGCACTTCAAGGTGCCTGAACGCAGTAATTTCATTGACCTTCTCGGACGGAATCCATCCCAGCCACTTCGAGAGTCGGAAAACATGGGTGTCCACGGCGAAGCATGGACGGCGGAGGCAGAACAGCACGACACAGGCTGCGGTTTTGACGCCAATTCCTGGGTATTTGATAAACCGCTGCATCGCTTCGTCCTTCGATAAGGCATGCATATAGTCCAGGGAGAGCATGTGTTCATCTGCGTGATCAACTCGGTTACCGTGCTTTGCCTTTCCATCGGTTTGAAGCTCGTTTCGTCGTGCTATATTTTCCTCATATACCATGGTAAGTATCTCTTTAATATGTTTACTCTTGATATCTGCCAGACCACCGCTCTTTATTGCATCTCGAATTTCACCCACTGGGGCATGTCGCACCTTGTTCCAGTCTACACTGCCTTTGCCCACGCCGTCTTGGAGAACACCGAATCTTTTAACAAGACCTTGAAAAGCCATAGCGGAATTATTACCGGTAGTTGCGCCGCTAAGAAGGGTGCGAATCAAGGCATCGAGCACGCTGGGCACTTCTCCGCATCCGGATATAGTCAGTGATGGTAACGGTATGGTTTCTGGGGCTTTAACTTCTCCATGGATGGAGGATAGAAGACGGGAAACTTCCTCGCATTGCTCAACTGTGGGATATTCCCAATCTGGGAAAGGAGTCTCATTGAATGCGGGTTTTGGTTTCCTCCGGACGGCTGTCGTTTTAGAAGCGGTTTCCTGTTTTAATGTCGTCGATTTGGCCCCTTTGACCGACTCCGAGTTTGAAATTTCGACAGCTATTCCGACCTCTCGAGCGATGAGCTCCTCTTGTGGACTTTCTAAAGAAAAGGCCTGATCAGAATCTTGGGGAGGCGCATCAACTATCGTCCAGCTTGCTCCTGCCTGTTGGTTGGTATTCGTACTGATCGGCTTTGTATCATAACTCGGAAATCCTTCAATCGGTGCAGGTACGGCTAAAGTACCTAAGTTATGCGGCAACTCTATGACTTTGGCTTGCGTATCTGCTCTTTGGTCTTGGCCCTTCCGTGTTTTTTTAGCAGCCGTTGGGGTTGGCCCCTGTTCTATCGAATTGGGAACTTTCCGCTTGCTCCGTAATACCCGGGACGGAGCTGCTGTTTCCATGGCGGGTAGCAGTATAGAATTGAGAGGAGTGTGCGGTATCAGTGACGGGACTGTTTGGGCTTTGCCCTGTCGTCTTTACGAGTAATAAATTCAATTTAATACCTCTTCGTTAAGGTTCTGAAATTGGGGTGATTAAGCCTGACCGTCGCCCTTGATATTTCCTAGGTGCAAATATATGGTTCACCGGAGTGCGGTTGCTCAAAGGTCGTTTTTCCGGTGGCGCTTGCAGCTTCAAATCATAGATGCACTGAAGGTAGGGGACGCTCAAAATAGTTTATTACTACAGGCCTACCTAATGGTAAAGGACTTATTCACGGATAGTCAACGTATCTAGCTGGCCGTCACCAGCCTAGGTGCATTCGCGGTGGTGAGACTGTCACTGCCCATACTAAACCCTATTAACTAGTCATCTCTACTGGTGTAAGTTATCTGTCATCACTGATGAACTGTAACCAGTTTGCGTGAAGTTCAAGTGTAATCATCATTGCAACACAAAAGTGAATCTAACGAGCCAACATGTACAGCAGAATTGAAAATAAATCATCAACAATCATGCCACAATCGTCAATCTTCAAAGATGTCAAGCCAACACTGTATCAAAGGAGCCAAATGCGATATGCGTTCGCCACATCAAATGCCATCACTCGTTCCACCCAATATGAGGCGTTAAGAGATCTAAAGATGCGTAGACCAGTGTTCCAAGGAAAGAGATGTCCATCCCAAAAGGAGCGTCATTAGCCGATCTAAATCTAGGCGTAATCCCCAATATTATGTAGTGAGATATCCATACGGTCCTTGACCTGTGGTGGATGGTCCGTCTCATCGCTATGATGATTGGTAGTATTCGCAGAATTCGTCGGATTAACTCGGTGTTCAGCTGAAGCTGGTACAACTTCGCCGTTCTTATCTACTTCGACCCCATTTGCGGCAACCTGCACTTCTGTCTGGTTGGCAATCCCACGCAACACGGCTTTGCGGGCGGAGTCGACGACTTTGAATTTTCGTCCCTCGCCACGAACCTTTTCCAAATGATCGAAATAGCCCTCTGAGACCGGGGTGATGTAATTCCCGCAGAAAACGCCGACTTCGAACTTGGTGGGTTCTGCAAGTCCGTTTTCTTTGGAGATTTCGGCACAGGCATCTTTGAGGTCGTCGAGAGTTTGATAGATGACGGTGTCAGCGCCTATGTGGGCGGCGACTGATTCCGTATCACGGTTATGGGCGACCAATTCTTGAGGTGAGGCGAGGTCGATACCGTAGATATGAGCATGGCTAAAAGGTACGTGAGCGAATGCGCGATAGAGAATAGGAAAGAGCGGACTTACGTGATTGGAGGAGCGCAGCTCGCGAAATGAACCGTCCGTGCGCCCGCCTCTCTGGCCATTGTGACGATCTCCCGACTCGTTGTGCCGCGGACAATACTGTCATCGACCAAGAGCACGTTGCGATCCTTGAATTCTGCCTTCATAGCGTTTAGCTTCCGACGAACACCTTTTTGCCTTGCCTTTTGTTCGGGCATGATAAAGGTCCGGAAAACATAACGATTCTTGACGAAGCCTTGGCAGTAAGGTTTATCAAGGAATCGCGCAACGCTGGCAGCAGATGTGTTGGAAGTTTCAGGAATCGGGATAACTACGTCGATGTCCTCAATCGCCTTGGGTCCTAGGGTCTTGACGATAAGTTGAGCAAGCTTGTCACCCATCCGCTGCCTGCTTCGGTAAACACTGATACCGTCAATAACGGAATCAGGGCGCGCGAAGTAAACGTATTCAAAGATGTCAGGTGCGTAATCTTTCTTCGGGGAGACTTGGCGAAATACTGGCTCGGCCCCTTTTTGGATAACAACAGCTTCACCTGGTTGGATGTCTCGGATATTGGAGAAACCAAGTTGGTCTAGCGCGACGGATTCGGATGCCATCATATAATCCATACCCGACCCATCCGCCGAAGGACGAGACCCGAGGACGAGAGGGCGAATGCCATAGGCATCGCGGAAGCCAAGCACCCCGAAACCAGCCAACATAGCCGTACAGGCCCATCCACCTTCGCAGCGTTCGTACATCTTGCCTAAGGCTTTGAAAATGTCCTCGCGATTAACGCGGACCTTTCCGGTTTCATTTAACTCATTGGCGAAAACGTTGAGCATCAGTTCACTATCGCTATCAGTGTTAATATGCCGATGGGCCTCATAGTCCAGGTATCGCTTCAGCTCAACAGCATTAATCAGATTACCGTTGTGAGCTAAGCAGATGCCATATGGACTATTGACGTAAAAGGGTTGGGCCTCCGCATTTGCGCTGCTGCCTGCAGTGGGGTATCGTAAATGTGCGATTCCCATGAAGCCAGGCAAGTCAGCAACACGCGCCCCATCGTGGAAAACCTTTGCTGCCATGCCATTTCCCTTGCATTGGAATATCCGGCCACCTGATGCACAGGTGGATATACCGCACGCATCCTGGCCACGGTGTTGGAGCAGGTATAGTGCTTCGTGCAGGTCGACGCTAGCAGAGGCGGAGGCGCTGGCCAGTATCAAGGCGAGGATGCCGCACATATTGAGGCCTGTGTCCTAGAAGGGTTCTAGAAGTATCACAGGTCAGCTGGCGCTTCAACACCAAAGTGCGCAAAAGTTCCGGAACATGATTGTCCATAGAGTCAGATGAAATGACTGTTGTCCGCAATATGTACTAGGTAGTCTAACATCCAAAAGTCCAATTTTGATCATCATACAGGACAAAATAATGTTGGCTCAATTCAGAAAACAGACAGGAACACATACATAGCTTCCACGGGCTGACACTATCTGCCTGGAACAGAGCTGGTTCCCACCGAGTTAGTCCTGAATCAACAGAAAGGAAAAAGTGAGTGGGAATGAGAAAACTGTGGCAATGAGGTCATGCCAGGAGCCTATTATCAAGACATTGAGAGAGTGGAGGAGGAGTAGAGAGATATAAGGGATATGAGATGGGAAACAAGCAGTGATCTGGGAGAATCCAGAGTCATCCTGAAGACTGAAAGAAATCTCAGGATTATTTCTCTCTTTTTTTTTTCTCTTTTGGTGGCCGACATTTTATACTGTGTAATCAATTGCTGTTTTTCGGGCTGATCGGTATTGTCACTTCGGTCACATACGGGTGAGATCGGCGGCGGCACGGCTTCATTTCACCGACATTTCGGTATTCGGCATGAAATGGTATTTTTCAGTGCGCAGTCACATGACGCCCTCGCGTGTTCTTTTTCCCGCAACGACAAACTTCAAACATCTCGACGACGACGTGCTGGAGTTGCAGTCTCTCATCAGAAGGACTGCTATCAACTAACCGCTATTTATCAGGCCCGTCCTACTTTGAATACCTGCCGAGTTTCGACGCAGACCCCAGACCCTAACCTTCGGCCCCGTTCAGCCTTGTCTACCCCCGCTCGCTGACAATTCGAAGCAATGTCTTTTCATCCTCCAATATCCAGGACTCAATTTGAGTGCCGGCATCATATGGGCTACAGTGGGATAACTGCAACGGAATGCTTGGGTTGATTGCCAGTTCACACTCTCCAGGAAAGAGATCCAAGCATCAGTTGCCAATGCGAGCACTATTACTTCTCCAATTCTTCTGCCATACAATAGTCTTATTCCTAGGATCTTTGTTGCGGCACAGAATCTATCCTAGACTTCACTAGCTATCTGGCATGCTTTTATTTCTTTATTCCCATACTTCACGACTCTTATATTCTAGCTGGAATCCAGATGAGCACACTCGCGCATGGCATATTTCTGTTAGATGGTAGTTGGGCAAGCACAAGCTTGGTCATCTACATGTCTTTAAAGGCTCATATATTTATACTGACTCTTTCTTGATGTTCTTGGAGATGGGTGCTTGGTCATCTCAGCCAAGCACATAGTCACAATTCATTTATTTCTTTGTTAATCAAGTACCTAATTGACTACCACTAGATGGAATTTTTCCATCCTATGATACTTATTTACTCTTACAGTGCTTTTCATAGTTGGCATCCGCGATGCACACAGCTGCTCATGACACCTGGAGTACTAGAAGCTGTTTGTTGTGGGCTCGGCAACAACACAATGTGTGTACATCAGCCTTGCACGCTATTAATGCCTCTTTGTCTGTCACTGACATCTGGCGACATGGTCCATCAGAATGTGTTATGGACCGAGCTTTCTGTTGTGTTCCTCAGGATGATCTTGTGCCATTTTAGTACTTCAACAATTCATCGGCCCTCTACCATCACAACCTTCCTTCGCACATAGTTACCAGCACTATTTCCATCTACATTAATTTGTTTGCTGGAGCTCGGTGATAGCTGTCATAGGGGTGTCTTCACAAGCATTCTCAACTTTTGATTTTTATATTTTGCAATTCAGCAGAGCTCTCTTCTAGATATTTGACCTTTCCTTCAATGGCTTTTGATCTTGAAGAAGCAATCATCATTGACGATGATGCCAGCAGTGCGACACTGGAGGGCGACAATTTCCGAGTGCAAGAGGTTTTCCATCCGGAGGATTTCATGACCGACGATGATTTTGAACTTTATCTTACGAGCCTATCCGCCAATGCGACCCGTCCAAACCGCCATCGAGCTCGCTCTTTATCCCCGGTTCCTGCACCTACAAGGGAAAGTGTCCCTCAACTCTCAATCGGCGGGAAGACATACAGAAAGGGCAAGTCTGTCGAATTGAACGACGGAACCTTTCTCCGCATTCAAGAAGTGTTACGCGCTGGCACCAACGAAATCTTCTTCAAAGGACATCGCCTTCAGCGCCTTGAACACATGGATACGCTTGTCCCCGATTGGTTAAACGAGCTATGTTGGACCATAGACTTGAATTCGCCTGATACTGAGAGTACCGAGGGGCTTGAAGAGGTCTCGATCAGTGATGTCCGGAGTTTGCGCCTAATTCGGTTTACTAACCATTCCTACGTGGACATGAACATTACCATGAGCACTAACAGCTTCCAGAGTGACGACGAGCGTCGAGAAGAGGGCCTGCTTTACTGCCGCATCAAATATATCCGGGTTTGGGATAAGGCTGCAGGTCGAAAATCGCGTGTCGTTGAGGAATCCTTGGTATTTCTAGAGCCGAAGGAATGCGATTCCGGCTTTGATTGCGAACCTGCCAACCTTCGCTACGCTTGGAGAGGATCGACGCAACTAGGCGGGAGTCACAAGCCAGATTTTGTTGATCTCACCGGAAGTGGTGAGGTTAGAGCTCAGTATACTTTTGGGGACGGATTCTGTGGTGCCGGTGGTGTTTCTCGCGGAGCTCTACAAGCGGGTTTATACGTGCGCTGGGGGTTCGACAAGTGTCATAAGGCTATGGATACTTACCGGCTCAATTTTAGGACGGCAGTCGGAGAGACCTGTGAGGTTGCTCATTTTCTTACAAATGATGCTAAGGATATCATGGTCGATATACTGCACTTCTCCCCTCCGTGTCAAACATTTTCGTCCGCGAAGACCGTTGCCGCACCTACAGACAATGCGAACGAGGCCTGTATTTTCTCCGCCAGGGAGCTCTTGCTAAGGGTCAAGCCTAGAATTGCGACTATGGAAGAAACTTCCGGCCTTCAAGAAAGGCATAAAGAATTCCTTTATGCGACGATTCTTACTTTTATTGATCTTGGCTATTCGATCAGATGGAAGCTACTGACATGCGAAGCGTATGGAGTTCCGCAGCAGAGAAAACGCCTTGTGATTATTGGAGCTGGGTAAATTACCCTCCACCGCTTCGGACATTCTTTTGGGATAACTAACCAATTTTCTTCTTCTTTATAAAGACCAGGCGAATCCCTTCCCCCCTTCCCCAAACCAACGCACGGCCCTCCCGATTCCAATCTCCGCCCGTACCGCACCATCCTCGACGCCATCGGCAACATTCCCGAGGGCGCGCCAGATCACGACCCGAAGCGAGCTTACTTCCGCAACATCACCAAAACCCCATACTCGCCACGCTCGTTTGCGAAAACAATTACGTGCAATGGTGGAGACAACTTCCATCCCAGTGGCACCAGGGCATATACCCATCGGGAAGCCGCATGCCTACAGACGTTTCCTATGGAGCATCAGTTCTGTGGGGTGGGGGTGCTGAAGCAGATTGGAAACGCGGTCCCGCCGATGCTTGCGAAGGCGATTTTTACGGAAATAGTCAAAGATTTGGAGAGGGCGGATGGCGTGAGGCGGTGAGGATGGTGGACCGGGTCTTCTTGGGCTATGCTGAGGCTTATTGTCGATTCTGCGGTGGCCTGGCTGGTCCGATCGAAGGTTTTGTCGATGTGAACGAGGATACCTGCATGAAGGGTGTAGTGGTGGTTTATTTGTTGATAAGTATTTTCCGCGCCTTGTTGAGGTGGCTTTGTTTGTCATCAGACTTCCGCTCTTTTGTGCCTAGCCATTTTGTTGAAAGGCCCTTTTGGTAGGGAGCATATTGTCCAGCCGATTGGAGTCAAAGAGCTCGTGAAAATCATTCAACAGGTGGGCTATATTCGCATAAATACAAATTTAAGGACATTGCCATTCTGTGGTGCAAGAATGGGTATATTATTGAATCACCTCCTCCCTTCCAGTTTAGCCGTTGATGCCTCCAGATCACAATGAGAGTAGGCTCCAACAGCTGTATTATAACAGATCATAGCTGAGATCATTCCCACTCTTAGCTTATGCCAACCTATGCCGTTCGGCCTCGCGGCGCCTTGTCCCCGCTTGCGTTTCACTCGTCTCCACGCATATAACCGAAGATATTGTAAATCCGTCTTGGTCTGAATCCGTAGAGTTTCGCATATGTACCTCGCTCGCATTTCTAAAAAACCAAAAGGGCAGAATACAAAAGTAGCAGTTCATTGAGATTAGAAGCCTAGGACAATTCATATTAGTAAAGAAAATATTGAAAATGGGATATAATTACGCACCTGATTCAGTGTTTCCTTCACCCATGCTCTTATTGGAGCTGCTACCGCTGAGGATGGACCCCAAAACACCATCCACATACGGGGCGCCGCTCCATTTCTGGTGGGTGAGAACGTCAACTCCCATCTCCTTTTCGCGCTTCTGGACAAGGTTCACGTATGAAAGCATGCCGTCCTCCTTGAAACCTCTGGAGAGCTCAGTGGTCACCGTTGCGTTGGTGTGAAGGCCAGCGAGTGAGATAAGTTGTAGCACAAATCTGTAGCGTGTTAGAGTTGTGAAAAAAACATTCAATTTTCTTTGGAGCTGTGTTCTCACCCATGCTTTGCAAGGTCCCAGATGAATGACTTCAGGCTGGCTTCGTCAAAGCCCTGTCCCATCCAGTTAAATGAAGGGCTGAGATTGTAAACCAATTTCTTGCCTGGGAACTGCTCTCGAATTTCACCAGCAAATCTAGCGGCATTCTTGACATTCGGGTCACCGGTTTCAACCCAAAGGAGATCGGCATAAGGCGCAAAGTTGATTGCGCGCTTGACAGCAGCCGCTTCACCGGCGCGATAGTGATAGTAGCCTTCGCGGGTTCTTGGAATGTCCCACGACCAGAACACCGGTGACTTTGTGAATTCGTCCGCGAGAGCTCGACGCTGCGAGATGGACATGTCCCGATTCTCGCGAACCTTTGTTGTGTACTCGTTGATGGTGGCTTCGGATGCGCCCTCGGAGACGAGGTGCTGTTCCACGGCTAAAGGGGAGGTCAGACCATAGAGTCATCTTTCAGGCCAAGATTTTAAATACCTTCATCGAATGTCACCAGTTTATGTTCCTTCACCCACTTGGACTCGAATGCGTCGATTTCAGCTCCAGTAGCGCCATCCAGCTCCATCTTTTGCAATGTTTCCGACAGCGGCTCACCGGCCTCAGTAACTCCGAGAATGAATTCGTGGTCTCGAACGTCAATGGTGCTGCTGAGTAGCTTTCCACTTTCGGAATCAGTCCTGGCGATGACCAGATTTTCAGTTCCCATGAGATCCCATTGGAATCGTGCGGCTACCAATCGATTGATGTGTTCGGCGATGGGGACCAAGACCTTTCCAGCAAGATGTCCACACTTCTTCCCCCCATGGAGCTGATCTTCGAAGTGGACCGCGGCGGCACCGTTTTCAGCAAATAGCTTCGCAAGCTTCATCACTGCGGTCAAGCCCCCGTGTCTACAAAGTATGAGCAATACGCTGAAACGGAGGGGGAAATGGAATGTACCAACCCTGTGTCGCCGTCTGCCACGATTGGCCGCAGATAGTCGACGTATGGAGTGGCTTTTTTCTGTTCGGGAGTGAGCTTTCGTCGCGCATCCCAATGTCTGCGGTCATGCATCTGTTGCGCCTTGAACAGACGCTGGACTTGGTTCGGAACTGTATTGTACGGATAGTCGCCAAAGTCAGGCGAAACTTCGTTGGTGGTTGTCAGCAGAGACGAGCAGGCCCATCCGGAGATGTACAGGACTTCTTGGTTAGGGGCTTGCTGCGTCATCTGAACCGGGTCGATTGCGCCAACTACTCCATGCATTAGCAGCCACTTGATTTCAAAGTCTCCGTCGGCCACATACGCGTGTGCAAAGGCTCCCCCTTGGCGGCCTTTTCATTCAAAAGGTTGAAGAGTTTCCGCGCCATCAACGAGCTGGGATACGCCTGCTGCAAGGACCCTCGTTTGCTGACGACATCCGCAGCCGAATAGGGCCGTTTAATGCCTTCGTACCGGGGCGTTGCCCACCACTGGTTGACGGCGTTGACCTGCTCCTCGAAGAGCGCATCTTCGGCGGCGCCTGCTTTCTCCGACGTCGAGAGCAGCTGATAGGCGTCTGCAGGAAATTCAATCGACACAGGCGGCTTGACTGCTGGAAGCCGCGACGCCATTCGAACCGACGTGTAGGCAAGACGCCCAGCAGCGGCGCGAGGGAGGAGGGCCGGGTGCGGAGGTTGTCCGGCGAGTCGGAGCTGGCGGGGGAAGCAGCGAGAGGCGTTGCGAAACATGGCGTGTGCGTGCCCGAGGGAGCAGAGGGCAGTATATTCAAGCAGAAGAGCTCTCGCAGCCGGCCGTGATGGTCCAAAGCATTGATCTGTTATGATAATGATATAAAAACGAGCCAGACGGCCTCGCTTACATACGCAATCAGATAAGACAAGCCGCCGACCCGGGCTGCAGTACATGACGGTACCGCCAAGCCTCGGACCGGCCGCACAAACCACCCTGCCCGCCGGTCTCCGTGCGTATCGTCACGTACCGGCTAGGACCGGCGGGGGCTGTGATTGGCTGTGCCGCCCACCTCGGATCGAGCGAAACGAACGGGCGGCCGGGGGTCGAATTTCGCTTCTTCTTCTCTTCTTCTTCTGCTTCGGATCCTCTCGCTCTGCGCGATTCCTCTCCCTCAGTCCTTGTCCTCGCGGTGCAATTGATCCTCAGAACAAGACGTTGACGATTCAAAAACATCTGGGCGTTATGTCGGTCGCTAACCCTGTGCTTCGCCGTCTCTCCGCCCGCACCCCACGCGCCTTTGCTCTGAACCGCCTGCCCGTTGCTGCTCGCCAGTCCGCCTCCCCCAGACACTTCTCGCCGCACCAGATCTCGCAGCCCAGGTCGTTTTCCACCATGACCGCCTTGCACTCTGCTGCCGGTCCCACGACCGCGGGCCCCAGGGAGTATGACCCGGAGATCAATGACATGGCCAGCTACATCCACAAGTACAATGTGGACTCGGACCTTGCGGTACGGGCGTGATGCTCCTTTTTATTGTCGCTGTGGAGTCGAGAGCTTATGTGTGCCTTCTAGTTCGATACTGCCCGATGGGTTTTCCTGGACACTCTGGGCTGCGGTCTGGAGGGCTTGCGGTTCAAGGAGTGCACCAAGCTCCTTGGCCCGATCGTCCCCGGCACCGTGGTTCCCAACGGCGCGAGGGTCCCAGGAACACCGTTCCAGCTGGATCCCGTCAACGGTGCGTTCAACATTGGCGCCATGGTCCGCTGGCTCGACTACAATGACTGCTGGTTGGCCGCGGAGTGGGGCCATCCCTCCGACAACTTGGGCGGTATCCTTGCCGTCGCCGACTGGATCTCGCGCACCAACCGCGCCGGCGGGAGCTTGGGCAACGGCAAGGTCTTGAAGATCCGCGATGTGCTCGAGGCCATGATCAAGGCCCATGAAATCCAGGGTGTCCTTGCCTTGGAGAACTCCTACAACAAGGTCGGATTGGACCATGTTGTCTTGGTCAAGGTTGCGACCACCGCCGTTGTCTCCAAGCTCATGGGCTTGACCGAACAGCAAACTGCAGACGCCATCACCCAGGCCTGGGTTGACGGCCAGAGCTTGCGGACGTACAGACACTCCCCCAACACCATGTCTCGTAAGTCATGGGCGGCCGGAGATGCCTGCCAGCGCGCGGTCAACCTGGTCCTCAAGGTCCAGAAGGGTGAGCCCGGTATTCCCACCGTCCTCTCCGCCCCCGTCTGGGGCTTCTACGATGTGCTCTTCAAGGGCAAGAAGTTCCAGTTCCAGCGTCCATATGGAAGCTACGTGATGGAGAACGTCCTCTTCAAGGTCTCCTATCCAGGTACGTATTGGGCCTGCAACGCCAAATCAGGTTGTCTCTGACCCTATTCTGTAGCCGAATTCCACTCCCAGACCGCTATCGAAGCCGCGACCAAGGTCAACGCGACCCTCGCCAAGATGGGCAAGTCTGCTGAAGACATCAAGGAGGTCACCATCAGAACCCACGAAGCTTGCGTCCGCATCATCGACAAACAGTTCAAGCCCATGGACAACTTTGCGGACCGTGACCACTGCATCCAGGTTGGTTCCCGCTTGGCCCGTGATAAATGCATTAGAATTGCACATTAACCGCATGTCTGCTTTAGTACATGGTTTCCACCATGCTCGTCTTCAACCGCCTTGTCGCCACCGACTACACTGATGGATCCGAAGCTGCCACCTCTCCGCTAGTTGAGTCTCTGCGCAAGCGCATCCGATGCGTGGAGGATCCTCAGATGACCAAGGACTACCATGACCCTGCGCTCCGCACCATCCCCAACGCCCTCACCGTCACGTTGAACGACGGCACCGTTCTGGAGGAGATTGTTGTCGATGCTCCTCTGGGCCACCGCCTCCGCCGTGAAGAGGCCAAGCCCGAGATCCTGGCCAAGTACAAGCGCCACCTCGAGGCCCACTACGATTCCTCCAAGGTCAAGAGTTTGATCGACCTCGGCCTTAAGCAGCAGGAGTTGGAGAACACCGATGTTGACAAGTACGTTGACTTGTACGTCAAGGAAAAGGTTGACTTTTAGACGGGGAATAGAAGGAGTTGTTTTTCTTAGCTGTTGGATCTAGCTCGTTCGTGCCTTTGGCCGTGTTTGCACCCGTTCTTTGTTCTGGCGTACAATCAAAAGCAGCTTCGGGCATGAATCTCTCGTAATTGTCAAGGGAGATGCGACGGCAGAGGGCATGTGAAGTATTCGATGTGATCCTGTATATTCTATTTTGTTTTTATTTCAGCATGACAGACGGTCAAGCAAAGACCTTCAATTTCAACAGCGTCCATCACAGCATTTCCTTTGCTCTCAAATTTCATCCGAGCTTCAAGCGACGAGAGACCAGCTCCGCCCATGAGACAGCGCTGAAACCGCAACTGTCTGCCCGCACCCCAGTTTGTAACGGTGCCAGCGCGCTTGGCGCTTCGAGTGGCCCTTGGAACCCGTTGAGCCTGACCGCTGGCTGGGTGCTTGCTGATGCCTGCGAACATCTTTCTGTCATGCAGTGGCCTGACAGGTTCATCCGGTCGCACGAATGGCTGTCTCATACCCAGTCAAACCTGGGGGGGAATCTGTGGCTTTTTTCTCCGGGGAGATCGCGTAACTATATTGCCGTAGTTACTTTTTTTGCGACTTGCCAGACTCAGGATGGAGGTTGATACATAAGTCGGGGCCCTTTCGTCTCGAATGTGTTGGCGATGGCGAGTCCGGCTCTCGAGGAGGAATTATCTTCTACTGGGTTGCTTTTATTTCTGCCTTTTATCCACCGCTGCTTTGTCTTTTGTTGATCTATAGTGTATTGGACATTGGCTGCTCGCGCTCCTTTTTGCAATGAAATTCCATCTCGCTGCCGCGACGACGCTATTTGCCTTTGCCGTCTCACAGGCAACGGTGCCAGAGGATCTTAAAGGTGGCTTTCGCTCAGGTTCAATCGAGCTGCAGCTAAGTTTTGGCGGAGATGCGTCCGAGGGTCTTGCTGATGGCGCCGTGGTATCCAAGGAGGGTGAGTATAGGAGATCACTCTACTTACGATCGTGCTCTGACATAAAGACTAGATGCATCGCGCACACCCACCTTTGCCTTGGGCGATGCGTCGGGCGTTAACAGAGCGCTCGGGTTCACCATTATGATGGTCGACACCACCGATCGGAATTCGAGGCGAGTCCACTATCTGCAGACTGATTTCAAGGCGACGGGCGAGAAGACCAAGATCGAATCGTCGAGCCAGCCCGTGGTCCCGTACGCGGCTCCCGGGAGCAAGGGCGAAACTGGGAAGAGGGAATATTCGTTTTTGATGTATCTACAGCGGCCAGGGGCCCAGATGAGCAATGTCCCTGCGGCGGGCGATACCATCGATGTCAAGGAGTTTGAGAAACAGAATGGATTGCCGGATGCTCGAACCGGCATGGCCATCAGCGTGGATATGGGCGGAGATGGCGCAAGGCCTCCAGCTGACCCTGCGAGAACATCTTCCACGACTGCCGCTGTGAGCACAACTGCATCATTGCCCACTTCCAGCTCAAGCTCTATTGTCTCCATTTCGAGCACGTCCGCTACCGCTATCACATCGACAGCAGCTCCGCCGGAATCAGAAAACCCATTCAACAGAGTGGACCCGGGCCTCTTCCCGTTCCCCTTTTCATTCCCTGTTGCGACACCCACGGCCGATCCGATCGCCATCCCAACGACTATTATTACATCAAGCACGGGTGTGTCACCAGCCTCTAACAATGCAACTGCCACAGTCCCCAGTCTACAGGGAGCTAACGAGAGCACCGGCACTTCATCAGGGCGGAATCCCCCCACGGTCGCCACCTCCGCGACGGATGAGGCTACGACAGACCCACCTGCAGCAGAGGAAACGGGAGAAAGAAGGCCGGAGATGCCCATATTCACGCAGACCAGCTTTGTGGTCGTGGCGCCATCGGGTCCGGACCGTGCGAATGCGAACGGCGCACCGCCTGAAGAAACGCCGGGATCGTTGCAGGACTCGGGGGCGAAGATGCTGGGCGCTGGGGCATTGAGGGCAGGCCTGATGCTGGGGGTGGCCGTGTTGGCGTTGCTGTAGGATTGATTTGCAAGAGCTTGATGCTTTGCACTGTGGCATGGGGCGATGATTTGTATGACTTTTGATGGCGATTGACTCGCTGATGTTTTCTACTTGGTGCATCGAAGCGGCTCGAGTGCTGCTCAGCGTAATTTGTTTAACTATGGTTTCAATTTAATCGGCGGGTTTCTATTCGAATGAGTGAAATTGTACAGTGATGTCTAGCAACTCATCAACTCAGTCGATAGATCATAGATGCCTCCTCTATTAGTGCCGGTCCTTTTATACCGAGAGGTGGAAATACCGAGGTCGAAACCCCAGCAACGCACCCCAGCTTCTCCAGACGGACGGCTAATCCACCGCACCGAGAGATACCGTGGGGAAAAGCGGATTGCGAGCTGCGGGAGATGTTATGTTGTAATCATGGCCGCTGCTCGGCTAACTATCTTGCCTCTTCTTTGCCCTTTGCTCTCATTCCCTCCGACTTCTCTCCCTTTGCTCTGAAGTTATCCCCCCTTGCGATCTTCCATTCGGACCGGCAAACACCAAGAGATCAACCTTGACGGGCAAAGATGGCGTTGAGTACGTAAAACTACTTGTCTACCTCAAGGCTGTGCATCTATCAAGCTAACATACCGTCTTCCGTACAGCGACGGCTGCCCTGGTTGCTGGCGGCGCCAGTGTGGCCGCATATCTAAATGCCAAATACCACATCCATCGCGATCTCTCTACAATAACCAAGACCAAATCCGCCGAACGCGCCACCGCGCGTGCAGGTCCGTCATTTTGCATCTCCCCCCTTTCTCCACTGGAAGCCCCCTGTGCTGATTATGCGCCGCAGCGGCAAATGGCACCCTGTCAGCCTGGAATTTCTTCGCTGAGCAGGTGAAGAAGCAGCCCAATGCAACGTGCATCTGGACGCGAGAGGCGGAATTCACCTTCCAAGAAGCCCACGACATGGCGTGCCAGTACGGGCACTACTTGCTCTCCCTCGGCGTCAAGCGCGGCGACCTGGTTGCGGTCTATCTCCAGAACTGTTCCGAGTTTCCGATTCTGTGGCTGGGATTGTGGGCCATTGGCTGTTCTCCGGCTCTGATCAACTACAACCTGGCCGGGCCGGCGCTCATGCACTGCTTAAAGGTTAGCAGTGCGGAGATCCTGATCGTCGACTCCGATCCGGATTGCGCGGGCAGGGTTGAGGAACAGCGGGCGGCAATCGAGGGGGAGTTGAACATGAAACCCTTGCTTCTGGATGAAAACTTGAAATCGTATATTGCGACTTTCCCATCCGCCGTCCCTGATGAGTCGTTCCGAAAGGGCATTGAGGGCGGGTCGCCAGCCTGCCTGTTCTACACGAGCGGCACAACGGGTCTTCCCAAGGCGTCCGCATTCACCACGTCGCGAATGTACTATTCGATTCTGACGAGTGATTTATTTGAAAGCTCCCGAGGGTCGCGGGACCGCTGGTACAACTGCATGCCCCTGTATCACGGCACGGGAGGCGTCAGGCTCCAGGTCTGCCTGTGCCGCGGCGACTCGGTCGCGATTGGAAAGAAATTCAGCACTCGGAACTTTTGGAGAGATGTGATCGACTCCGAGTCGACGCATTTTATCTACGTGGGCGAGACCGCCAGATACCTCCTTTCGGCGCCTCCGTCGCCGCTGGACCGGCAGCACAAGGTTCGCGGCATGTACGGCAACGGATTGCGGCCCGATGTGTGGGAGCGGTTCCGAGAGCGATTCGGGGTCCCGTCCATCTGCGAATTCTTCAATAGCACGGAGGGGATGTTTGGCTTGCTGAACATCAACCACGGGCCCTACAGCGCCGCGTGCGTGGGCCACCACGGGCTGATCCTCCGCAAGCTGTTCCACAACACGTACATCCCCGTTGCGATCGACTCGGTAACGGGGGACATTCTCCGCGACCCGGCCACGGGCTTCGCCACGCGCATGTCGTACGAGGAAGGCGGGGAGATGATCGTCGCGGTGGCCAACGAGAGTGCGTTCCAGGGGTACTGGAAGAACCCAGAAGCGACATCGAAGAAGTTTGTGCGGGACATCTTTGAGAAAGGGGACCTGTATTACCGCACGGGGGATGCGCTGCGGCGCACCGCGGACGGGCACTGGCACTTCCTCGACCGGCTGGGGGACACGTTCCGGTGGAAGTCGGAGAACGTGTCGACGGCGGAGGTGGCGGTGGTGCTGGGGGAGTTCCCGGGGGTGCTGGAGGCCAACGTGTACGGGGTGCTGGTGCCCAACTACGAGGGCCGCGCGGGGTGTGCGGCGCTGCAGCTGGATCCGTCGGTGCGCGAGCGGTTCGACTGGGCGGGGCTGGTGCGGCATGCGCGGGAGAAGCTGCCGCGGTATGCGGTGCCGGTGTTCATCCGGGTGGTGGAGGCGTCGGATCACATCCACAACAACAAGCAGAACAAGGTGCCGCTGCGGGACGAGGGGGTTGACCCGGCGAAGAAGGGGACCAAGGTGAAGAACGGCGGGGCGGATCGGGTGCTGTGGATGAAGGCGGAGGAGGACACGTATAGTGAGTTTACGGCGGAGGACTGGGAGAGGTTGACGAGGAGTGAAGCCAGACTGTGAAGTATACGATAGACTAAGTTACTCCTTATTAGACGCTAGACGAGAAATGTACACGCAAAATAAACATACAACGCTCCGGGGAATCACAACACTATCAAACTATAAACCAATGGACCGCTGCGGCCACTGCAGCGCCTCCTCCCACTGGGGACCCTTGGGCTCAAAGGCGGCGGACAGCTCGACGATGAGGGCGCGGCCCGAGTTCCTGGCCCACCAGCGGCTGCCGTCGAGCTCGTGCAGCAGGACGCCCCAGTGCATGAGGATGAGGACGGGCAGGGGCTCCTGGTTCTGGACGGCAAAGACAAAGTCCTTGTCGACCATGGCGAGCCAGCCGAGGACGGCGTCGATGTTGGCGACGAGGGCGAAGCGGCGGAAGCAGCGGTGCAGCAGGGTGATGGCGTCCTGGCTGATGCGGTGCAGGGACGGGTTTGCGGTGTCGAGGGTGTCGTCGTTGAGGGTGGCGAGGCGCTTGAGGGCGAGCTCGGTGTGGTCGTCGATGCGGTCGGCGGCGGGACGGGCCCAAAAGTCGGACTTGGAGGCGAAGATGGTGCCCTCGTGCAGCCAGGGGCGGGTGAGCTTGAAGATGTTGCCGACGCCCTGCAGCAGCTCAAAGACGAAGATGATGTTCTCGGCCATGGAGCTGCCGCGGTCGCGGTCAGAGGTCATCTGCGGCAGGGCGATGCCGAGGGCGGTGGTGATGACAGAGTGCGCGAGCACGGGCTCGCAGTTGACGGGCGTGATGTTGTCGAGGGCGAGGCGGAAGGGCCCGATGGCCAGGTTGTAGTACTCGAGCGCAGTGTCGATGTAGGACAGCGCGGCGGGCGACGGCAGGCCAGTCGCGATGTGCAGCGAGGCCAGCGCCAGCATGCCGTTCATGAGAAAGTCGTAGCTGAGCGCCTTGCGCGGCAGCACCAGCTGCCAGGCACGGCGCTCCGAGTCCTCGATGCACAGGCTGGTGTAGGTGTCGGTGGCGAACTTGTGCATCAGCTCGAGGTCGCGCAGGGCCGTCTTGCGCGCAAACGAGCCGGCGCTGGCGGGCGGCAGCGAGGACGCATCAACACTCGGTTCTGGCGGCGGCGGGCGTGCAGGACGCTGCTCGGGCGGCGGGAGGCTGCGTTGGGCGCGCGAGTAGCTGCAGTCGAGCTCGCAGCGAGTGCACTGCAGACACAGCGAGCCGTTTTCATCGCACTGGCGAGTTAGCAAGAAGAGAATAGAATAGCAGAGATAGATGGAATCTACCTTGACCCGGCGCCCCTTGCACTGGTCGCAGCCGTTGCGGGACTTTTTATGCGGCCGTCGCGGCGGCATCGCGATGTCGATGGTCTGCGTATTCTGTGCGAGAACGATTCACTCACTCACTAGGGATTGTTAACACTCACTAGTTAGTTAACTAGTGTTCGCTCTCGCATTATCCCTGCAGCGAGAGCGAAAACGCCATCCGAGATATCAAACATATAAGAGACAAAAGAGGAGACGAGGATGATTCTGATCTATCCATCAATATGAGAGACTGATCTCTGATCTCCTTCAATATGGACTTCTCGCAGTGCACGGCGGTCGGCCCCCTGTGCCCCGTCGAGGCCACCACCTACGGCTACTATCCGCATCTCGCCGCAAACATCCTCTTCGCCGTCGTCTACGGCCTCTGCGCCCTCGCCCAGGTCGCCCTCGGCCTGCGCTTCCGCACCTGGACCTTCATGGTCGCCCTGGCCCTGGGCGCGTTCCTCGAGATGGCCGGCTACATCGGCCGCATCCTCATGCACGACAACCCGTGGGCGTCCGGTCCCTTCAAGCTGCAGATTGTCACCATCATCCTGGGCCCGACCCTCGTTGCCGCCGCCATCTACCTCACCCTCAAGCACCTCGTCCTGTACCTGGGCCCCCAGCACTCGCGCATCCCCGCCCGCCTCTACACCTGGATCTTCATCTCCTGCGACGTCTGCTCGCTGGTCCTGCAGGCCATTGGCGGCGGGGTTGCCGCTGCCGCCGGCCGCACCGACCAGCACAAGCTCGCCGTCGGGAACAACATCATCATCACCGGCATTGCCTTTCAGGTCGCCACCATGACCGTCTGCGGCCTGCTGGGCCTCGATTTTTTTGTCCGCGCTTCGAGAAACGGCGCCTTTGACGCCCGTGAACGCCGGTCCGAAAAGGAGACCCACTGGAGGGCCTTTAAGATATTCTGCTGTGCCGAGATTCTGGCATACACCACGGTCTTAATCCGCTGCATCTACCGGTAAGCGATCCATTATGCATAGCGTGCATCGGTGCTGACGAATGCGCGGTAGTATTCCAGAAATGGCCGGCGGCTGGGGCAACGAGCTCATGCAGAATGAAAAGGAGTTTTTGATCCTGGACGCAGCGTAAGGACATGGCCATAGTTATATCTCTACCACCCTGGCTAACTCACGTAGGATGATTGCCATCTCCGTCATCGCCCTGACCATCTTCCATCCGGGGATCTGGTTTCCCCCAATGCGAACCGGCTATCAAAAGGAGATTTGATCAGAATTCATTGATGTTTCTTGATATCCAACGTGTACATAGATCACAGGTTGCACAAAAGGGGGATTTTCCTTTTTCCTTTTTTCTTTTTCTTTTCTTTTTTTCCCCCCTCACAACAATACTCCGTACTCCGTAAATATAGAGATGGCTATGGGATACCACCATAAACTTCCATAGATTTTGAATATTGAGAAGCAACAGCATACACACACACAAGTTCTATCATGGCCCATATTCAACCCAATATATATATCCCAGCCTTCCACCAATCCCCTCACCAAGATGTTAAGCTAATAACCACTAGTTACCTTCGCTCTCTCAATTCTCTAACAATAGCTTCATATACTTCACCATCATATTTAAATTCATCAACCCGGCGCCCTGTACCCGTATATCGCAATCTCATCCGAACTCTGACAGCCTCTCCATACCTGTTCGTGAAGAAGTGTCGATTCTTCCTCCTGAAAACCATTACACGCCCGTCATCTTCAATGGGCACTTCTCCCCGGAACCTAGTTCTGTCACGGCGTGCAGGGGCGCACTGTTCTTCCTGCCTCTGGCGCCGGGCGAATGGACTGCGTGATGGGCGATCGAGCCGGGATGTATTGGAAGGAAACAGATTCTGACTGTGCTCATCTAGGGAGCCAAGGGACGCCACAGGGTCCATACTCGAAATGCCAGGCATCGAGCCGCCAATCGGGAAGCAAAAGCCTGGTGGGCGCAAATCTTCGATATTAGAACCAGGCAAAAGCGAGCCACGCCCACGAGGAACAAAATCCATCCCATCTAAGTCGCTCGATGGCGCGGTGGGCAAATGGGAAGCGCTCTTCCCTGGGTAGAAATCCTCCATGTCTATATCTCGCATCGCGTCGTGGCTAGATGTATTATGCTGTGTCATGTCTTCCGTATGGCTGGGGTCGTACGTTGGTTGCTGAGTGAGCGCCGGGCCGCCCAAATGAGCAGGAATTGGAGGTACAGGAGGAACCCCCTGTCTATAAGGGGGGGAAAGATGTGGATGTTGATTAATGTATCGAAATGCGATCTTGAATTCTAACTTGCGTCTTTTGGTAAGTCTGCCAACCCAGTCCGAGTACTCAGTGTCGTTGTCCGCTCTATCACGTCTAGCAGAGACTTGAAGGCCAAGATGAAAGAAACATTCTCTGAGAGACACACTACCATGATAGGCTTCAGGCGACCTGGAATCGACATTCGCGGCTATCGTACTGGCACTGATAATGTTGGAATGCCAAAGCATCCATTCTCTGGGGTCATCTGGACTTCGTTCCACCTTAAAAAAGATTGTCTCGTTGTAGTTGGTCAAAAAGCCGAACTTGCATTTTGTTGAGTGCAGATATTTTGCTATTTGCCCTACTTAAGGGTAAGTAATGAGGTGCAGCCATAGTTATAGTCAGGGCCTGTTCGGTTCGAGGTCGAATTCTTTTAACGGGCCTTATACGGAGCACGGGGTAACGGCCGTTAAGAGGTCGGTTTATAAGGATTTGAAAGGATAGGAATTCCCTTCCTATTGTAAGTTAGAAGACCATATTTTCATGTTAATCATAAAGGGAGTCTGAACTTGCTTGAACGTCCTTATGACCTTATACAATCCACTTTATACAGTCCATCAAAAGAATTCGATTTCAAACTGAACAGGCCCTTATTAGTGATCTTACCAAAAGCATGTCGAATTTCATATTCGCATCTCATCCATCGACCAAAGTCATGTGCCCAGGGAGTCTTTGCTTCTCCAACAACCCCTAGCGAGCCTCCAGAGCGCACAATGACAAAATCAGGGATGTCGGATATAGACTTGGGAGATACACAGGTTTTGAAATCTCCGAAGAATAAATCCATCTCATGGGCACCGAACACATAGGTCATCACCTGTCCAACATTGTTAACGAAACGAGAGACGACGGATATTTCGTCTCCACAGTGATAAAACTCATTAGACAAGTAATGACGATGGGGGTTTTCCATGCGATGTAGAAGCACCATTCGTGACCAAGGATGGGCATCAGTACTCATCCGAACCTCCTGTTCAAATTCTGACCAATATCCCAGTACTCCCCGAAACTCAATATTCTTACGAGCATCGGAAGCTGTTCTGTTTTGACTCTCACGAAGTGGAGGTAATCCTTCCATTATGAGGTCTTTCGCCGCGAGTGGGATGACATTAGCCATAGTGTAGGGTTTTGGAGGGTTCGGCAGAGGGTATAGTTACTGTATAGAAGATGTAGGGACACTATAATGTGTGATATTAAATCTATCCAGGCGAGTTCGCTTATAAGGGATTTGGATATTATGTGTAGGGTGGTAACTGGATAAGTTAGCTGCCCAACACCCCCTCATGCAGTGAGCCTCACCTATACGAAATCCACCAATCCCTAGAGCTGCCCATGCCAAATCTCTCAAATCTGCAATAATAATTCATTACAGAATCTGCAGTCTGTTTCCTTGTTAGGCTTAGGCTCCATGCACCCCATTACCCAATCTCAAGGTCTGATCCGCTGGTATTCCTGTAATTCTCGTATCACTTTATTTTCCCCATGCTCTTTGCTTGCCGGGGTCCTTCTGCTTTGAGACTAGTAGGGGTCTTGAAATGGAGCTTTGCCTCAGTTGGAATGCTCGCGGAGATGTAGTTGAGATAACCATTTGTTCCACTCATTCCATACTGCCTTGACATCTTTAGCCTCAGGAGGTGGAGAGTCTGTTTCTTCTTGAGAATATCTTGAACACCAGCTTGGTCTGCCACAAGCTCTATCTCTTCCTTCCATTGGGGATAGTTGGCGGATCCTTTCAACATGGTGATTTCTTGATACCCTTGACTCTTTCATGGAATCTAGTGAGATATTGATCTGCTTCGGAGGTTGGATTGACCTCATGCCCAAATAACTTGCAGAAGTCTTCACTAGCTGGTCCTATTCCATTGCCATTTGCTTGGAGCTTTGCAAGCTTAATCTGGAGCTCTAGAATGCGTAGAGTTTTGTCTTGATCACTTTACTGTTCCATGGTTTCTTCGTACCCGCTTTCCTCGTTGAATTCCTCGTCGGATAGGTCTTTGTTGACTAGGGGACTTTGATATCGAGCTCGGTGACCTGTTACTGGCGTAGGGGTTCTTTCTTGTCTCGTAGATGCACCGCTCCTAGTATTAACCATAAGCAATTGAATTGATTCACATGCTGTACGAAGCAGAGGGCTCATAACCTGTAGTACCTAACAGAAAAGGGGGCCGGGAACTTCGAAGGATTAAATGAAGTTTCAAAGGGAAGCCCCAAGTCTCTTTTATATACTGGAAACGTTAGAACACTCCGCCAGCAGGTCCAAACTGTTGGCCCACAGAGGGACTCTTTCGTCGGCTGGACATGGGAGACAAGCATTGGGCGGAGAGCAAAGCCAAGGTCCTGCAAGATGAAAACTGAGCCCCCGGCGTCCACTGAGAGTGCCCCAAAGCCAGTCGATCTTGCAAAGTATCTATTAGATCACAGCAGTGTTGGATTATTTGTTGTTGATCAATGAATCAATGATGCCTAGTTAGTTAACTAATGGGCGGGAACGGAATAGCCGATGAAGGTTCGGTGTCTCCAGCCAGCAAGCGCCAGGCAGCAACACCGCAATAATGAAGCTAAGAACGTGAAGTTCAGTGATGTCCCTGGGTGATTCGCGGGGAAGAGACACCACTGAACAAGGCGCAGATTCACAGGAGAGAGATAAAACTGGAGTGCTCCGTCTCAACACTCCCTCTTCCAAGCTTCCAAAGTGAACCATGACTTGTTGTCTATAGTTGACTGCTCCATGATAATGTTTTGTCATGGACTGGTTCGACGACACTTGGATCGGCCATCTTGTTCACTTCTCAGAGCCACAGCCATCAGCATGGATTCTGCAAAAGAAACTGTCCGAGCACGCCGTCTTCCCCAAGAAGGGCTATGCCGAAGAATATCGTGTGCCCGCTGAAATCAAGGCCGTCTTTGTCTGTTCAAAACTTGGTGGCCCGGGTCCTCTCGAAGCCGTCCTCAAGATCTGGATGCAGTTGAGTTCTACATCGTAGATATATGAACGACCATCGCGTTTTATCCTGATGCCGTATGAATTCCAGGGTCCCGTTGACAAAAAGAGACATATTTATGGGAGGCGATATCGCTGACTGGGAGCGCGGCCTGGAGTGCGATTCGGGCATTGGAGAGCAGATTGCCCTGGAGCGCCTGACACAAGGGCAGTGTACATCAACTCCGCACTTCATTGCCTCGAAGGCGGCGGTTCAGGACGGCAGCATGCGTTTTCCTGGCGGATTCATGTACTACCTCTTGATGACCAAGCTCCCTGGCATCCAAGTCGAATCATTCAAAAGTCTCTCTAACAGAGAACGCTCCGAGCTTCGAGGAGCGTTTCAAAGAGCATGGCTGTAAGCTGTCTCACCATCAAAACGCGCTGTTTGTTTTAGGTGCATTGATCTGATGTTTTGCTCAGGGAGGTCAGCGCCTGTTTCGTCGTTCAGAGAGATGCAGGAATTTACAATCTGCTCTGGGACCGACAATCGCAGAAATGGTGAGTCCAGCACGAGTGCAAAAATACTTCTTTTCTGACCACTGCACAGCTATATTGTCGATTTTGAGAACTGGACGGATTCCCGCTACTACTTTAATGGCTGGTTAGATGTGTTGTGGCCCCTTTGGGGTTTGGGGAATGAGAATGAGTGAATCGTCAGCAATGAGATGGTGACAACGCTGCTGGCAAACTTGTCCCATGAACGCTACATTGAATATTATAATCCTGAGTGTCGCTAGTATCAAGAATTATCTCACTCAAAGGCGATCAACTCCAACTTGCCTCTTTCGCAGCAATCACATCGTCTTCTCCCTGTCGACCCGGATAGCTCTATGTATTAGTTCGCCCAGGGACTCAGGGCCTTGTGGCGCCCGTTCGGCTCATAGATCAAGGTTTGCGACTCTCGAATCCGATCATTTGTAAATTGCTGCACCAGATGGCGCAATGCCACCGGCAAGCGATTCCAATACCGATCTCTGAGCTTCGGTAAATACTGGACATCGCACACGCAGTACGCCCGAATGTCCTCGAGCATCGGACGAGTATTGAAAACTTCAAACGACCCGCCCGCTTCCGGCCGAAACAGTCTGCCGCCTTTCTCCTTGGCTGCTTTCCACACCCTCTTTTCACCAAAACCCAGGGAGATGAGGTCCAAATCGATGCACCGGGCAAGGCCACTCAGGTACGTCTGCAGTCCTCGCCGGCAAGCCACCTCCATCAACTGGATGTCCTCGACGCCCTGGAGGGCTACCCCGTAAAGGAAATAAAGCGCGTTGGAGTCGTTGCGGACGTCGAAAATGCCCTTGAGGATCTCGGGAGACTCGAAGATGGTCTTGAGTGTATCGCCGTTTTTCCCGCTGGTCGTAAAGGCAAGGGGCCCCAGGACATGGACGTCGATCAGATACACATGGTCTTCCGGCTGCACCAGGAGCTGGATGATAGAAATGCTGCCCAGTCTGCAGAGATTCACGCCTTCAAAATCGGCGAAGATGGCAGGCTTGGATGTCTTTGGCAGGTTGCTCAGCACGTCGACAAGCTGAGCCAGCGCCGGCTGCGAATCCACAACGCTTGAGGAGATCATAATTAACAATCTTCTGATCCGCAGTAGGAAAATAGATATCAGGGTATAATGATAGAAACTGTTAGATGACGGGATAGCCGCCTGTCCACAGCTCCATACCTGCGCAGGTCGAGGACAACTATATAAGCCTCAAGCTTTCAAAATCAATGATGCATATTTCATGACAGCAAAGAGCGAACAGGTGCTCTGGCTTTGAGAAGTCCATGGTTGATGTTCGCCTCTAGGAAGGAATTTGCTGTAGACAGCCGGAACTATGGAACGAGTCGGCTCCTTCGACGTAAGATGCACAAGAGCCACACGCAGCAGTCTGCCAGCAGATGAGCCGTTCCGTGACTCCAATGTTTGTGCATTGAAGCGGATGGTAATGGACCGAACGCTTCCGGCTTGAGGAGGAGAGTGATCAGCGAGATGTGTCTCATCGCATCTTGCTCGAGTTCTAGGCTTCCGCCGCCCCCGGAGGACCGAGCGTGTTGGCGCTAGTTCCGGGGAACCGCTGCCCCGCGAACTTAGTGCCTTTGGTTCGGGCTGCGAGCCTTGGCTGCCCCCAGAGCCTTTTCTCTTCACTTGCCGCCCTGTGAAATTCATCGATGGAATGAAGAGGAGAGGGATACTGGTCGCTCCGTTTCGACAGCCACATTGAATATGCTGAGACGTGATCGGTCCAGCGAACTGCCGCCGCTGCGTCGAAGAACGGTGAGACACGGCTCGATCGACGAGTGACAGACCATGGTAACTATACGCATATGTCCCAAGCCGTGTGCGATGCTAAAAATACTGATACTCGGACTAGAATGCTTCCAGCCCTGGATTACTCGCGTCCTCGTCTCAAACCGGTCTCCCGGACGGTATGGAGTTCCAAAGATGAAGCCGCACATTTACCCGGTGGTCAGCCTTTCGGAATGGTATGGTTGGCTTGAATATCTGATAGAGCTGTTCCTTTATCCCGGCTTGGTACTGAGAGGTTGAGATTATAGTAGCTATGCAAGTGCGTGCATGCTGGTCTGTGGTCGTCGAATCATGGAGCACGACTGTACGACACATCCTATGCTCTCCTCTTACCTTGCGCGAGGTAACTATATCGAGCTCCCGGAACTCGTGGCTAGCAAAAATGCCTTGATCCGATAGATAACTTATCTGCTATAAGCTCAAGGTATCTATGTGGACAGGTCAGCTGAATGGTCGTTGATCGACAAACAGCAAGTGCTATGCCGCTCTCTGGCCTATCTTTTGATTTCACGGCTGCCTGAGCTCTACCGTCTCAACCGATCATCTGCGGGTGAAGGCCATCTGTGCTTATATACCACCGCCTTATTTTGAAAAATGCTCTACGCTATGCGGTTTCTGGCACTGCTTGTGCCAAACTTGTATGCCGCGACCGCGCGATCCCTGGACTTTGACCCCATAGGATACGTCGACCAACTCATAGGATCCGTCAATGGCGGGCATGTCTTCGCGGGGGCAACGCGTCCATACGGCATGGCTAAAGCTGTGGCCGATGTGGATGGCCAGAAAACATCTGGCTTCTCGACTGACGGCAGTAAAGTGACCGGCTTCTCCCACATGCATGATTCTGGAACTGGAGGGAATCCGTCGCTGGGTAATTTTCCTCTTTTCCCGCAACAATGCGCCAGCGATGACATTAATACCTGCAAATTTTCGAAAGCCGCGAGGGCTGTGCATTACAATGCTGGCTCCATCAAGACGACTCCTGGCTATTTTGCGTTAACATTGGCCAATGGCATCGATGCAGAGATGACTGTTACAGATCATGCTGCGCTATACCGTTTTGCCTTCCCGCATTCGACTGATCGTGATGATGAAAATAATCCCGTCATACTCTTAGACTTGACCGATTTGAACGACAGCAGACAAAATGCGTCAGTCCTTGTTGAGAGCAGTGGGAAGATCACGGCAAACGGGACCTTCCTCCCCAGCTTTGGCAGCGGATCCTTTGTTTCTCACGTCTGTGTCGACTTTGCTGGCGCTGATATTCGTGATACTGGTATCTTCGTTGACGACCGGGCCGGAACAGTTCCCAAGTCGATTTTCGTCACGCGTGGTATCAATTTATACTATATTAGAGCTGGTGCATTCGTGAGATTTATGCCCGCCAACAGGACCACTATATCCGCTCGAGTGGGTGTTAGCTTGATCAGCGCGGATCGAGCATGCCAGAATGCCGAGAAAGAAATACCCAACATTCTAGGAAATTTCGACGACCTCAAGAAAAGTGCAGAGAATGCATGGAGGACAAAATTAGAATCCGTAAGCGTGACACCCGGCGGAGCCAGTGAAAACTTGCAGCGCGTCTTCTGGAGTGCTATCTATCGAACGATGATATCCCCGCAGGACTACACTGGTGAGAACCCACTATGGGAAAGCGATGAGCCGTATTTTGATTCATTCTATTGGTATGTATAGCTGGAATCTCCATGATTATTCGTAGATTGATGTATTAGCGCAGCATATGGGACTCCTTTCGTTCACAACTACCGCTCCTGGCCATCCTTGACCCTGCTGCATTGGCGAAAATGATACGCAGTTTGCTCGACACATACAAGTACGAAGGCTGGCTCCCGGACTGCCGGATGAGTCTATGCAAAGGGTTCACTCAAGGCGGGTCAAGTGCAGACATTGTCCTTGCGGATGCCTATTTGAAGAATGTGACCCAAAACATTGATTGGAATTTGGCTTACCAGGCAGTTGTCAAGGATGCCGAACAGGAGCCTCTAGACTGGTCTAATGAAGGACGAGGCGGGCTCATGAGCTGGAAGTCCCTGGGCTATATACCTGCAATGGATTTCGACTATCTCGGTTTCGGAACGAATTCAAGAAGCATCTCCCGCACCCTGGAATATGCTTATAACGATTACTGCATCGCAACGTTGGCCAAAGCGCTTGGGAAGAGTGAGTCAGATTACAGCAAGTATATGCAAAGCTCTGGAAATTGGAGGAATCTTTTCAAGGAGGATCAGACCTCGTTTATCAACGGTCGAGACACCGGTTTCGTTGGCTTCCTACAGCCAAGATTTCTGAATCGGACCTGGGGATATCAAGATCCTATTCTTTGCAGTTCCCTTGACAAATTCTGCTCGTTGACCTCGAATCCCCAGGAGACATTTGAAGCTAGCATTTGGGACTACCAGTTGTAGGCAGATCCTCACTAATAATAAGCAAATGGTGGCAACTGACCTTCCCCCCAGCTTCGTTCCGCATGACATATCCGCCCTTATCGAGCTATTTGGTGGTCCTATGAACTTCATAAAGCGCCTGGACTATCTCCACGATGCTCGAATCCTAGACATCGGCAATGAACCATCCTTCCTATCCACCCTCCTCTACCACTACGCCGGACGGCCAGGCCTGTCCGCCAAACGGATCCATTCTTACATCCCCTCCCGCTTCAATGCCTCCCGAAACGGCCTCCCGGGCAACGACGACTCAGGCGCCATGGGAAGTTTCACGGTCTTCACGATGATGGGCCTCTTCCCCAACCCCGGGCAGAACGTGTACTTGATCACACCTCCCTTCTTCGAATCCGTATCGATCACCCATCCGCTCACGAACAAGACCTGCACGGTGCGGAATGTTGACTTCGATCCGGGTTATGAGCGCATTTATATCCAGAACGCAACGTTGAACGGGAAGCCGTATGGGAAGAATTGGATCGGCCATGAGTTCTTTCTGGAGGGTATGACGTTGGAACTCACGCTTGGAGCGACGGAGAGTGAGTGGGGAACGAAGCTGGGAGACGTTCCCCCCAGCGCTAATGTGGGAAGGGCTCCGTTGATGGGATATTCGGGCGGCGAGTGGGTGATGTGAATCGACTGTTGTGTGGAATCGGGTTTGTCGTTTTCTCCTCGTTTGATGGAAAGAAAATGGCCGTGTTGTTTCCGACGATATAAACTAACTAACGATGTATGTAGGAAGTCCAGCTCCGCTTTTACGCTTGCAATTTCCTCGTTTTCTGATTCTTTTCACGCGTTGAAATGAGGAAGCTCTATACCATGCGTCTTTTTTATTTATACCTAAACCAACGGGAGCATGAAGAAAGATATCAAATAAACACATCGAAATGATTGCAAAAAAAAGGAGAAAAGAGAAAGCAGTATATTTTCATACTTATCATCGTCACATAAGAAAATACGGGAAACGAGGTAAAAAAAGACAAGTCCCCCTGGGTCTTCGCCTCCAATCTATCTGCACCCCTTCTTTCGGGTCGTGTCACCCACGCATCGAAAGTCGATCCCGAGAAAAAAAGACGACATAAAAAGAACCATGGTTTATGCGTTAGCTAGCGCAACCTGGGATATTTTGTTGTTTCCTTCCCCACCCCTTTTCCCCGCATTATTGTACATACATACAAGCACGAGAACGCTCCCAGCACAATTCTACATCGAAAGCTTTTCTAGTTCTTTTTAGTGGCATCGAGCAATCCTTGCATGTTGATACTCTTGGGACGCTCAATCGGCAGACCGAGGGCGCGGCTCCAGATCAACTGGGCGAGCGGGCCGAGGGCACGGCTGACACCGAAGGTGACGGTGTAGTATAGTGGTTCCTGGAAGCCATAATGGTGGAAGAGAACGCCGGAGGCGGCATCAACGTTGGGGTGAGGGTTCTTGGTCTGAGGTGGGGAGCATGTTAGTTTTCAGGGGTATCGGTTCAGAGAGTCGTGGATTGACTTACCTTGCCATGTTCAGTGAGGACGCCAGGCGCGATTTCGGAGTTCTTCTTGACGAGGTTGAAGACGGGGTTGCCCATGATTTCGGGTCTGGTGCTGGCAAAGTCCATCAGAGCTTCGAAGCGAGGATCGGGCTTTCGAAGAACGCCGTGGCCGTAGCCGGGCACAACTTGGCCAGACTTCAGAGTTTTCCAGAGATAGTCCTTGACATCCTGGTCGCTGAAGTTGTCGCCGATGGCGCTGCGCATGTTGAGGATCCATCGGAGAACTTCCTGGGCAGCCAATCCGTGGAGGGGCCCGGCAAGACCAAGGAGACCAGCGGAATAACTGAGGAAAGGATCGCTGAGAGCGCTTCCGACAAGATGAGTGGCGTGAGCGGAGACGTTACCACCCTCGTGGTCTCCGTGGAGCGCAAGGTAGAGGCGGAGAACGTCATGGAAGCTCTCGTGCTCCTTGCCGCCCTTTCCAAGAAGGACTGCGAAGTTGTATGCCCAATCCTGGGCGCTGTCGAGCTCTTGAGTGCCAACGGTGTCGACTTCATTGGGGCGGAAAACCAAAGCGGCAACACGGGGGATCTTGGCCAGGAGCGAAATGCTGTCGTCGAAGGTTGGCTCCCAGTAATCGGCCTTGTTCATGCCCTCAGCATACTTTTTGGCAAATTTGGATTCCGTGTTGAGCGCGGCCACAGCGACGGAAAGCTGGGTCATGGGGTGCATATCCTTGGGGAAAGACTTGATCATCTGGAGAATGTGCTTGGGGAGATGGGACTTCTCGGCAAGCTCGCGAGAGAAGGCGCGGATCTGAGGAGTGGTTGGGACCTGGCCGGTGAGAAGCAGCCAGAACATGGCTTCGGGCAACATCTCGGTGCCGGAAGTGCCCTTTGGAAGTTCCTTCTGGCAGTCCTTGATGGTGCGGCCGTGGAATCGAATGCCCTCATTGGCGTCCAGAACAGAGCCCTCCCAGACCATGGCCTTGAGACCTCTCATTCCGCCAATGGCGCTGGCGACTGTGACATCGCCGATCTTCTCCTCGCCGCGCTCCTTCAGCTGCTTGAGCAGGGCACGCTTGGCGGGGATGGCTTCTCTCAGGACGCTCTTGAGCTCAGATTCCGCGGCGGAAGAGTAGGATCGAGAAGAGCCTGCCACTGCGCGAGAGGGAGCCGCCTAAGATCCAGTTGCAATCAGCAATTGGGATTCTCCTTGGTGAGTATGGGAGTCCACTGTACCTTTGCAGCCCGAAGGGCCTGGCGGGTAGCTCGAGCAGCCAGAGCCATTGTTTTTGCGGGAGATTGAATGACGTAATTAGACTGGTGAGGTCGGACAGCGAGCACGCAGCAGCAGTTGAGAGGCGATGGGGAAGTTGGGGAGAGGCGCGCGAGAGTGTCTGCTGAAGAAGAGCTTGCAGGAATAAATTTCGTCGGCGGAGAGATGATGGACAGTCTCGGGCCAAGGGGGGCGGCTTGCGGCGGTTAAGCCAGAGCGTGCTTTTCGGCTGCGGGAGCCGAGGGACCACGGCCGGCTTGGCGCGATTGGGTGCGGTGAGCCGGTGAAGCAGCAAAAGGAGAATCAACAGAGGAGAGACAGCTCGCCTGTCGCCAGTAGTTAGCTAGTCGAGTGTAATTCAATCAGTCTCAGCCCGCCGTCGATTCCGCTGAATGGACGCTGCTGGCGATGTGGCCCTTGAGAGTCCCAAGTCACATCGCGGAATCGGCCTCATGTCAGCGTTAGTAAGCCTCGTCTTTGATTCCGCGAACGCGATGTATATCATGAATATATATTATAGAGCAAACGCCGTGGAGATGGGCTGTGGACGAGGCTGGAGTGACCTGGCCTTACATGACCATATCTCCAGTGTATCCTTCTACCAATGTCTACACCCTCTCCTGGGAAACTCACAAAACCACCCCCGATAAACAGCAACGGTACACCACGCGGAGCAAGATTCCTGGTTGGCTTGGGCCTGAGCGTGTGCATCGCGATCCTGGCAGCGTGGTATCTTCGGCCTGTGCTGCTTCGACCTTGGATCAGTGCTTCAGCGCCATCGTCACGCAGATTAACATCTGTACGCAGGTTCGAATCTGGCACTGGCACCGGTGCTGCAAAGATTGCCAGCCAAAGACCATCGAAAATGGCTTCTCAGGGGGCAGATTCACTTTTGTCTACGGGGAATAGCCGACGGACACCGGTTTATTTCCTGAGCCACGGAGGGGTGCGTTTACCAGCTAGTTAGTTACTTGTCATATCGGACTGTTGCTAAAACGCCATGGTTTAGCCCAACATAATGTACCAGCATGATCACCAGGCATATCGCAAGCTGCAGCAGATTGGCAAGGAGATCACGAGCAAGGTGAAACCCCGGGCGGTGGTGGTGTTCTCTGCGCACTGGCAGGGCGGAAGGGACACGATTCAAGTGAATACAGCCGAGATTACAGAGCTTATATATGAGTGGGTTCTCCCGGGGCACCGCATCGCAAATTCGAGGATGTCTGCTGACCACACATTTCTATGATGAAGCTTCTACGGCTTTCCATCTCACTATTACAAAGAGAAATACCCCAATGTTGGAAGCCGAGAAATAGCAGACAAGGTCATCGAAGCCATCAAGGATGCGGGCATGAATGTCGAAGGCGTCAAAAGAGGCTTGGATCACGGAGTTTGGGCGAGTTTCAAGTGCGGTATGTATTCGACAATCGCCGGCTCACAAAAGACCAGAGTAGGCCGCTAACGATATGATCAGCTTTTGACCCAGAGGACAACCCCCTAAATGTCCCCGTCGTCCAAGTTTCCCTCTTCGACACCGAGGATCCCGATCAGCACTTTCGGCTTGGCCAGGCGGTCTCCAAACTCCGCGAGGACAATATTCAGATAGTCGTCTCCGGGATGGCCGTGCATAACTTGCGCGATTTACGCTTTACCTTTGGAGATCCACGGCCGCTGCCGTACGCGGTGAGCTTCGATGAAGCGCTGAAGGAAGCCGTGACGTCAGCGCCTGCAGACAGGCAAAAGGCCTTACGTGACCTGTTGAAAAGGCCGGATGCAAGACAGGCTCATCCGACGTTTGACCATTTGCTGCCAATTCATGTGGGAGCCGGGGCTGCGGGAGACGACGCAGGACAGAGGTTGTTCACTCTGCCAGAAGGCAGTATGAGCTGGGCGCAGTTCCGATTTGGTGACATCCCAGCGAATTGATGTACACGAAAAAGTGTCTCGGGGCATACTTTTGGTATTTTGAAAACTCTAGGAGTGTGCTGGGCGTCTTGAAATTAGGGACGGTGAATTCGTGAGTATATAGATACAGAGAAACTTGGCGGGTCTAGGTCGTAACAACAAATTTAAACACGGACAAAACACTATGACTCTGCTTTCACCAGCGTTGTAACTTTTTGTTCAATCTCCTTATCCGTTAAACCTAGCAAGATGGAATTAGTCCGGCAGTCGCATCTGCGGCTATTCTCCCGCCGAGCACATACCTAGCAGCGATTCTTGCTTTTCCTTCCCAAACTCTAGTGCATCTACTTGTCAGCTTACACGTCCCGCACGTGTCCTAGTTGGGCCCCGTTGTGCATACCATATCTCGCAAATATTCTCGGCTCAATATCTGAGGCTTCGCGGATCATGATCGGTGTGAAGGGGTTATGCTTCTTCATCGTCGGGTACGCCCGTTTCAGGAATGTCCTGCGCCGGTAAGGTCAGCACCATCCCACCTCGCAGACAGCAATCTCCCTTTGCTTGGCCTGATCTGGAGTACAACTGACCTTGTCGCATCCCCGTGCGCGGACGAGTGGCAGAAGAGGAATCGAACCTCCTTGAGGCTCTTGCTAAAAGCGTACTTGGCAGACATCTCGAGCGTAACAGCAGGTGGCTCTCCTCTCGACTAGAATCCTGTCCGGACCGTGAATTGCAGACGCAATGCGAGCTCAACTGAACGGCGGAAATGCTCACTGTCGTCGCAACTGATAATGCTGACTAATATTGGTGGTTATGTAAGCAAAGTCAAGTCACGTGGAATTGGGCCCGACGACGGCCTCTTATTGGCCAGCCGGTGACTCTGAAGCTGCGAAGATCGGAGGCCAAGCATCGCCGCATATCAACCGTCAACTCGCCATCAGGATCCAGCGGTTGTTTGCGCCAGCGTGCTGTTTCTGTGCAGTTCAACTCTCTCCGCTCAATCATCGCCGGGACCGCATCAGGACACACCTCCAGTCCGTCCTTTCCATCACCACTCCGCCTCTTTCCCGCTCCTCCCGCCGTCATGTCTTCCCGCTTCGGTCTCCGCTTTCTCCAGAACTCAAGGGCGGCTTTTCAGCAGAATGTTTCCGCGCCGTTTCGCAGACAGATGCTTCGCACCCGGCGGTTTCAGAGCACGGAGGCAGCCGCAGAGAAACAGAGCTTTTTGCAGAGATCATGGAACAGCCCCGTCGGCTTGAAAACGGTGCACTTCTGGTGAGTCTTACCCTTACTACTTCATTTTGTCTGAAGTATCATGCGACTGCGCTCTTCGGAATTGAGTGCTGACGGCTGGTTTAATTCAGGGCTCCAATTATGAAGGTTCGACAGCCTCCTAGCCAAAGCCGCGCATTATCGCGGATTTATGTGAATTACACCCCAGTCTAACACTTTTCGCAGTGGGTTCTGGTCATTGCAGGTCTTGGAGACATGGCGCGACCTGCAGATAAGCTCTCCCTGACACAAAACGCCGCACTGATGTTTACAGGCGCTATCTGGACCAGATGGTGCCTTATCATCAAGCCGAGGAACGTTCTGTGAGTATTGGGTCCCCATCATAGGCAGTCGCCGTGCTAATCCTTGGTTACATAGCCTTGCTACTGTCAATTTCTTTGTTGGCTGCTTGGGATTGGCCCAAGTTACACGTATCTTTTTGCATCGACGGACTGTGGATGGATCCGCCGCCGCCGCGCTCAAGGATATGAGTCACGAGGCGACCGATTCCGCAAAGGAAATGGCTCACAAAGCGGAAGATGCAGTGAAAAAGCATTAAACTACCTGTGATGAGACGTACGACGACAGTAAGCTACGGGGGTAGTCTTGAATAATAACACCTCGGGCTAAATTTGGAAATCGATGGAACGATGAAGAGCCCTCTCTATCAAAAGCTGCTTTCATCATGCGCTGCACATATCTTTGATTTTAAATCTCTCTGATATGCATGATAGATCATCTCGTGTTCTATGTCTGGTTGGAATAAACTGAATTTCGCGATTGAATTGCCACAGGCTTGTCACTAAATATAGCATACTTTAAATATTCTTACTTTGGTGTCCCTACCATCGAACAAACGTCATATACACATGCCCTCTGGATCGAGCAACGTTCTTCGTATCGGCATACTCCGACTTTGAACCTAACTAGCCTACCGTTCAGCCGCTGCAAGGTGAGTTCATCGATAACTCCAGACTTCCTTGCATGTTCTCCTACGGGCCACAGGAACCAATTGAGTTCGTCCGCAGCTGGAAAACATGGAGAGCTGGCGTCATATCCGTAGTCAGGCCATCTTCAAAAGCAGATATGTCCATTTCGGATGCTTCTCTAGCTCCCCGCATGCTAAGAGATATATGTATTCTGTTGTCGTGGTTCGCTCCATGGTCTGGTAATGTTGTTTCAGGCAGGAAAAATTTCAGGGCCCCTTTTGTCTACCTGCGCGGGTATTATATCGAGAGAATATCTAGTTTCCACACTCGGGTGCTTAACACGAAGCCATACTGGGTATAATATCAAGCAATTCCAGCGATCGCCTCTATTCTATCGTGCATTGGCGACAAAGTCACCAAAGTGGTCTCACAAGATGAAGGCACTCGTCTACTCAGGCACAGGCAAAGTCGCCCTCGAGGACCGCCCTAAACCCACTATTTCCTCCCCGACGGACGCCATTGTCAAGCTCAAATACGGCACGATTTGCGGTACAGACCTACACATTATCAAAGGTGACGTGCCCACTGCGACTCCGGGCCGAATCCTGGGCCACGAGGGCGTGGGCACCATTGATGAAGTAGGTTCAAGTGTTGCGGGGCTGGATAAAGGTGACACGGTGCTAATCTCATGCATCACTGCGTGTGGGACGTGTTCGTTCTGCCGGAAGGGAATGAGCTCGCATTGTGAGCATGGAGGCTGGATTCTTGGGAACACAATCGACGGAACGCAAGCGGAGTACGTCAGGATCCCGTGGGCGATGTCGTCGTTGTACAAGCTGCCCGAGACTGTTAATCTGGCGGAGGCAGTTATGCTCTCAGATGCCCTGCCAACAGGATTTGAATGCGGAACGTTGAATGGAAAAGTCCAACCAGGCTGTTCGGTAGTGATCATCGGCGCGGGTGCCGTTGGGTTGGCGGCGATGATGACTGCGCGGCTGTATTCTCCGGCAACGTTGGTTCTCGTGGATGTGGATAATTCAAGGTTGGAAACCGCGAAGCAATTTGGCGCAACGCACACCGTCAATTCTAAGGAGCCGGATGGTGTTGAGCGACTGCTTGATCTCACCGCAAATCGTCAGGGATACGATGCCGTGATCGAAGCGGTTGGCATACCCATTACGTTCCAGCTGTGCCAGGAGCTTGTTGCACCGGGAGGTGTCATTGCCAACGTGGGTGTCCACGGAAAAAAGGTTGACTTGCATCTGGAAAGGCTATGGGATAAAAATATCAGTAAGTCGAGTATATGAATTTCTCCTCGTTATGGCTGCTTATCAGGTGTGACAGGTATCACAACTAGACTTGTCGATGCGACAACGATTCCAATGCTTTTGAGGCTATTCGAAACCAATGCCCTTAATGTCTCTAGGCTCATCACTCATCGTAAGTAGTAGAATTCCTAGACCATTGTTGGAAAAAATGCGCGGCTGACCTTTTGAACCAGGCTACAATTTTGGAGAGTGCGAGAAAGCGTACGAAACCTTCAAAGCAGCCGCTGATCATCAAGCCCTGAAGGTATCCATTGAATTTTAGTCCGGAGGCGACAAGTGCCATAAGATTGAGGAGACTTTGAATGTACTAAATTTGTCATGTTAAAGCATCAAAATCCCCTCCCAATAGACAGTCGTTGTTTGGGAAACAAGATTCCAAAGAATTCGCTGTGCTGCTTGCGGCCTAGGTATTTCTTCTGCTTGTAGCTATCCGTATGCCATCAGGCGACCAAGGATCGAGTGTGATCCCAAAGAAGTATCATCCCGATTGAGTCGATGGTTGTTCCTCCTAGTCGGAAGTATAGTCCTATCATACGAGACCCTGGTGGTGGTCGAAGGGTTTTGATGGTGTGCCGAATCCTAGAGCTGGAAAGCACATGCGGTTCAGAGGATAGTTCACGGTTGCGGCTGGTTCTGAACTTTTAAATGGTAAGAATAGATTTTCAGCAGCTTCCCCAAGGACACTTACCGTTAAAGCAAGCGGGTAAGACTCTGATGTCCGCACATCAATTTCAGTCAATACTTCATGTGTGTACAGCGTAAGGGGTCTAGGGTCGGTATGGCAGGCGCCGATGCAACTGGTTTCTGACGAAGTCTGTACAGAGACCTTGGTCAAACCACATGGCCTCAACTGTTATTTTGCCAAATTTGTCCACTAATTCCCTTTCTTGTTCAGGGTGCTGCTGCACATAGTACTCTTTGGCAATACATCCATGACCAGATAGGGATGGATGCTTATGTTTCATCAAAATGGTTTCCTCAAATAGGGGAGTCTCATGATGCCAGCTGAGGTATCGAAATTTGAGTGCCTGTGATCTTCGTGAGTAAAATTTCGTAGACAAACATAGTAACTCTAGTACTTACATCGCGAATGATCCGAATTTTTCTAGTCCCCTGTCCTACACTGAGCCCTTCCCAACAACCAATGGACCCAGGATCACCAAACAACCATGTACAAGCTCCACACCTTATACTTCTGATTCCCAGGGCATCCACAGCAAGCCCAATTGTTTCAGTTGTGACACTGGAAATATTGATGGTATAGAGGTTTTCAGTATTGTTGCCAATGAATAAACTTGACTGTCCAGTATCAAATCCGATTCCGCAAACATAATGTTTGCCTTTGAGTTGCATCCTGCATACCGCAATAGTTTTGGTGCCGAATGGAATATCCAAGAAATCTTCACATAGCCCATAATTGTGATTGACAAGCTGAAGAGGAGCTCGTGGATTGAATGTCTGTGCAACTGGGCCTTTTTGATCCATAGAATGGAGTAATTTAGCGAGTTCTGCTGCTTTCCTTACAATTTGCCATCTTGTGTCCAATTCAGGGAAGCGAGCCCAAGTCGAAAGTGCAATCATCAGAATACGGTTATCATCCCTTGGACTGGTGGTGATATCACATTGATAGAAAGGAAACGGGTTTGAGCAACAGAATGAATCAGCATAGGACAATGCCCGTTTGCTTGTGCAGAAGAACCGAACCAGGTCTGAAGGTGCTAGATATTCGAGAATCATGAGCAGGATTTCAAGAGGTAAACTCTGCAAGAGGAATGAGCCATGTTTGGCCGTGTCAGGTTGCAAGAAATTGGTCTGAGAGAAACATTTCTGAGGCCTTATGGATGTGGACGGATTTGGACAATCTTGAGGAGCTTTGTTAATTGGATTCAATTGCTGGTAATTAGAAAGGCTTACTTGAAAGGTCTAATATATCGGATCCAAAGTTCCTATCTCGGTCGGGTTGGATCGCTTGGCAGAGTTTGAATATCTAATGAGGTGAGATCTCAGATCTAGCAAACTCATGCAACAAATGGTAACAGGATCGGTGGATAAGGAAAGCCTCGATGGGAGTGAAATATGGAGAGGGTATAAGCCTGATTGGGGTTTGCCGGCTAGGCGATGTAAGGCTTCTTGATTCTTGCAGCAAAGTGTTGTTATCGAAGTCAAGAATCTCAACCTCAAGGCGGTTCCACTTTTGCAAGACCGGCACGTCATTGAAAGAATGTTACAGTAAATAGGCTCTAGTGAGAAGTTATACCTGTATTTAAACTCTTCGTCCAGTCCGTCCGGGTTATCCCACCAGAACAAATTGCACACTGGCGCGAAGTCTCCATCAATTTTCGAAGAAAATACTCTGTACTTGTGACATGGCTGGCTTCAGGTGAGGGGAATTGCTGGAGCTGCCATTTAAATTGCTCCTGCGGTTACACAGGATGCCTTTGCTGTCAGCCTGTCAATCAGGATCATGGTTTTAACCGTGCCAGGCACTTACGGCTATTCAATGCTACCTTATACCCACGAAATTTGTTGTGTCGAATAGCCGCAATTCCCATACTCAAAATTCAACAATTTTTGTCCCGTGGCGGCACGTCTCCCTATCCTCCCTTTATTTTTAGAAGAGGAACTTGAGTCTCCCAAGGATAACTTTATACACCAACGATTTGGTGTAGTTGTTGACGGTAGTTCCAGATCACCGTCAGTGCATTACACTCGATGCCGTGTGTATGCAGATCCCAGTACGCACTTGCCTCAAGGCTAGAAAGATTTCCTGAGGGTGTTGGGCGTTCGGAGGTTCCATGTACCCTCGAGTACGAGTAAAAACGAATTTTAGTTCCGTACGCCGTCGCCCCATAAATGAGCGGATACACCGCACGACCGTCAAACCGTATCTGTCGCAGTAATCCTGCATCTGCGCCTCAAGCTCATATAGATCTTTGACATTGTGGCGCTTGCTCACGCACAAAAGCACAAATATCACATTTAGGAAAGAATCATGAAATCCCACTCCGATATCAACACGGCGTTGGCTTTCGTCGGCTTGCTGTTGACCGTAGACGGACAATAGGAAAGTTCGGTGTTCCGTAGGAACTCTTGAGAAGTTCTTCAATCAGGGACCGGGTAGCTGTTTCTTGGAGATCTGATTACTGGCGCGTTTGTACGCTCGCTGAAGCCCTTCCGTGACAAGAAGGCTCGGCGTGGCAGGGTATGTTGCTATTCCAGGCAATCCGGCCATCTTGTTCGATGTTGAGCCAAGCAGCAGCAAATGAAGGCACACACATGTCTGTCGAAAGGGGTTGGGAATCTTCGCCTTTCCTGATTGGCTCTAGCTAACTAACTAGTGAACTACTTAGGTTAACTGAGTCCCCAGGCTTCAACCACAGCAAACAGGCAACTCTACGGAGTATTCCGTAGTTATTCCAGCATCTACACCTCCCCCAGAGATGGACCAGCTCACTCATCACTTGCTTGATAAAGAAGTCAAGAAGTTTATTGATTCAATTGATCCAGCTTTGGTCTGCAAATTGGCAACATCTTTGCATCCCAAGCAGAAATTTTGCCAGGTCTTCTCAGAACCAAAGAAGGGGAGCTACAATATCTGCTTTCCTATCCTCTTTACAAACACAAGCACAACTAATCTGGATGACGAGTTGACCGAGCCTGCTGAACCTGCTGAACCTGTTGAACAATGGATGGTCCGAATTCCCCTGTTACCGCGTCTTGCATTTCCCAAGGAGAAAATGCGAGGCGAGATAGCAACAATGAAGTAAGAAATATGAATTACTAGTTGTATTTGTGGTCAGGCTCTAACAATGTGATCCTATTTTGTAGGTATATTACTGAGAAGACTACCATCCCTATCCCTCATCTCTTTGAATATTCCATAAACCAAGATAACATCCTTGGCCTTCCTTTTTTGGCGCTGGAGCACATTACTTGAAAGACCCTTCATGGAACTGATGTACCACGGCTTTCAGATGAGCTGCAGTCACATTTATTCAGTCAACTTGCAGAAATCTACCTCCAGCTCTATCAACAACAATTTGATCATATTGGTGCTCTCACACTTGACAGCAATGATGAGAATTGGATTTTTGGACAAAATCGGCCACTTACTATTGAGCTAAATGATTAAGAACTAAGTGGCATGAAGAGCTCTTAGATTATACCCCCCAAGCAGACCTATTCTTCTACTATTGATTATGTATACACCATCCTGAAATTGATCTTCAATGACTTTCACCTCGGGAAAGATAGTGTTTTTAATGAAGAGGATGCAAAGAACTATCTATATGGTATATTTGCTTCTCAAGGCATTGTAATGGAATGGGTCAAACATAAGGACAATCATGGACCATTTGTCCTCATGCATGGTGATCTTCAACCTCCAAATATTTTTGTGGATGATGATCTAAACATTGTTTCAGTCATAGACTGGGAGTGGAGCCACACCATCCCTCTGCAAATGTTCCTCCCACCCTCCTGGATTACAGGTCAAGAACTCCCTGCTGCTACCAGAAGACCCTCCACCTTTGCCTTCAAAGTATATGTGTCCCGCTTTGAGCGAGCTGTGATGGAGAGAGAAGACACGCATTATAACTCAGGATGAAAGATAAAATATATCCTTCCCATGGTCATGCGCCTGTCAGAGAACTTACTGTCAGGGAATATGTTCATTGCATATGCACTCTTGAAACCTTGTTATTTTGGGAATGTGTACTGGAATCTGTTGGATGAGCAGTATTATGGAGAAGACAAGGACCGGAGAGTGGAAAAGTTCTTTAATCTTGATCTGAGGAAGCCGCAAGTGGAAGCCTTACAGAAAATAATGCTCGAGCTTGAGGCTTTCAAAAAGGAATTAGCACTGGTAGGACTAGAACCGATCGAGCCCGACCCCATTCCAGCTCCCGAACCAGGCAAACAATCAGAGAACGCGAAGTTCATGTCCAAGATGCGTGGCCTCGCAGATATCCGTCAATTATGCCGACGATTCGACATTGCGATTGGGTCCCTCCCTTGTTGGATACCTTGGTCGCTGGCTGGTATCAGCCTCTCTGCATGCTGCATCATGGCCAAACAGCGACAATGAAGTAGCAAAATTACCTTTTGCTTGATTTATTCGATTCCCCTGCTGCGACAGCAAAGTAATATGTACTTGCAAATGAGTGTTGTAAGACCGAAATCTCGGCAGACCTCTCTTGCACTCACAGTCAAAAGAAGGATTATTGTTATACTTCGCATAGAGGACACGGATCACCTGGACATGGATCTCGTGAAAGATCTGGTCAAACGAAAGGTCCATGTGGAGCAAGGGGCAAAACTCCAGATTTAGAAGTGCTTTGATGCGGTAGAACTTGTTCAATCTTTTGCTTGAAGCGCCATGAATCAAAAAAGTCTTTGATCCAGTGTAACCCATCCAATTCAAACAATCGAGCAAATCAGTTAGTGCAGCGATATTCTGGTAAATATCCGTGCTTGGAAAAACGCCGCTGACAAAATTGCAAATTAGCCCATCTTCAAACCGAAGTCGTACGTACCCACGAAAATACGCAACAGAGCAACGTTGTAGCGGTGCGGCTGCATGCAGAGATCTGTGGCAAGTGAAAAACAAGCAGCCTATGATTGGATATTCGTTGAAACGGCGATGGGGGTGGGCAAAAGGTCAGTGAGATTGATAGGCCTACTCCGTATACTGTGAGTTCTCCACCGTGGTTGAAAATCGTATAACTAGTTATTCTTAGAAACAGGCCGTTAGAGCTTGTGAGCGAGGCTAGTCATAGGGCTATGTCGATCAGCATGCAATGTCTCAAATTACGGGAATCGACTGCAACCAAAGTCTGAGAGCTCAGGCCAGGTGATGTCAATGGGAGAGCGCGCAGACCGTTTAAAGGCAGGATTAGGGGACGAAATCTCTTCATTTCTGTTCTTCTACTAGCACTGAATGCATGAGATTTGGCATTGTCAACACTGAAGCTCCTAGGATAACCCCTTGTCACTATTATCTGTCACTATTTTCAAACGCATAACTACGATGAAGCTTTCAATTGCTGCTGCGATAATGCCGCTTTTGGCTGCTGCCGCGCCAGCGCCAGAGCCACAGCAGTCAGGGTCGCCATATCCGCCAAAAATTGTAGTGATGGCCTCCCGGTCCGGCTCTCCAATTCATCTATCACCGATGAATGCTGGAGGCCGTGCATTCTCGCTAGGAGGTCCGACGCAGACCTACTGCCCCGTACAGGTTGGAGACGCCTGTCCCCCGGGCGAGCAGACGGTGATTGCAGGTCTCAGTTCTCTGGTATGTCTGTTCCGAATTGCTTTCCCACAGAAGAAGTTCAGGTGGCGCAATTATCACTAAACACAGTTCTCCCGCGAATAGGATGTGCTAGTACCAGGGGGGCAGCAGATGTACGTGGAGCCCAGCGGTGCTGTGGGCTTCACACAGGCCCATTCGGCAGCAATTCCGCCCGGGTCTTATATCGGCGGATTCACGTACGCGCCGGGGCCCAACTATGGCGTTTATTCGTTCAAGGGATGGGACGCCGACGGGTTCATGGGTTGCCCAAACCCGAAGTCGGGATTCTATCAAGTATTTGCGAATATGAAGAACGCAACCGTGCCAACCGGAAACATCAAAGACTGCCTGAGCTTTACAGCACTGGCCGTCAACTATACCGGTCCCAGCCCGGCCGCTTGGCAGTATGTTTAGGAAGTGAGCCTGATATTCTGCGCGTGGGTGGAACGAAGGGTGTAGGGGAGCTTTGGAGTCAGCACAGCGTTCCTGAGCAGAGTATCTTCGGTTGTTTATCTTTTGATAATAGTAGCAATAATTATCCAGTCTTCCGTCTATTGCCGTCAAAATGAAGCTTAGATAATCATTTATCCACGTGACCTTTCCGTCGGGAAACGCGTCGGATGATCTCGGAGACGCGCCGTTGCTCTGGGCCTCGGTACTTTGCCGAATCACTCTTTGATCTCGAACTTCAACATCGACAACGCAGCGGCTATCACGAACGCAGAGGATAAGCGCCTCCCCATGGACAAGCGGGCAAAATCGGCCGAGAGGAAGCTCCAGAGACGTAGCTTCGTGATAGGCCGGGACTGTGGCTTATGGCATCATCGCTTCCTTCACAAGCTTTTAACCTCCGCTCGCCCATGTCGCTGAATTTAGTATATCTGTGTTCGACATCGACATCAACCTCTCTCCCTTCTCGACCGAGTTGAAGCGCTGTCCAGGCGAAGCAGCAGGGCCGGATTGACTTGCTTTTGTATTCTGGATGATGTTTCTCGCCTCTCGCTCCTTGGCCGGCCCAGTCATGGCTTCGTGCTGCGTTCGAGGGGGCACTCGGGAGACTTCCGTGGCCTGGATGACTGTTAAGCTTGAAACTCAAGCCAGCTTGAGGAGACTTGGGTACAGGAATTGCATGTGCCGCGGTTACAGTTGTCTGACGTTATTCCCTTAATAGCAGTTTATATATATTCTCCATTGACGAGTCACTTGGACGCTGTGCCATCTTTTTTATATTTCCTGAAGCTTTTTACAGTGTCAACACCAAGCCTCGCCCTCATCAACACTGGAAAAAAGTAAATACGCCTCACAAACATGACTTCTGTCGACGCCCAGCTGAAGGATGTCGCCATCCTCGGCCATATCAGTGAACCGGCCCGCAAGATCCTCACCAGAGACGCCTGTGCGTTCCTGGCTCTCCTGCACCGTGCATTCAATGGCACCAGAAAGGCGCTGCTTCAACGACGCATTGCCCGTCAAGCAGAGATCGACCGGGGCCAGCTCCTAGACTTCTTGCCAGAAACCAGACACATCCGTGAAAACGATGCCTGGAAAGGCGCTCCTCCCGCGCCAGGATTGGTTGACCGCCGTGTCGAAATCACCGGTCCTACCGATCGAAAGATGGTTGTGAATGCATTGAACTCGGATGTGTGGACCTACATGGCCGATTTCGAAGGTGAGTGCCGTGTCCTCCCTATAATACCAACACTGGTTGCTAAACCGGATCACGTTCAGATTCAAGCGCTCCGACCTGGGAAAACATGGTCAACGGCCAGGTAAACTTGTATGACGCTATTCGCCGCCAGGTCGACTTCGTGCAAGGTGGAAAAGAATACAAACTCCGCACCGACCGCAAACTGCCCACACTCATCGCCCGAGCTCGAGGCTGGCATTTGGAGGAAAAGCATTTCACCGTCGACGGAGAGCCAATCTCTGGTAGTTTGTTTGATTTTGGTCTCTATTTCTTCCACAACGCCCACGAGTTGGTCAAAAGAGGCGCCGGCCCATATTTCTACCTCCCAAAGATGGAATCGCACTTGGAAGCCCGTCTGTGGAACGATGTCTTCAACCTGGCCCAGGACTATATCGGTATGCCCAGAGGCACGATCCGGGGCACTGTGCTGATTGAAACCATCACCGCCGCGTTTGAGATGGACGAGGTGAGCCAAAAATTGCGATCGATGAGAGATCACAGTAGTTCTGACCAATTCTGTCGCAGATCATCTATGAACTCAGAGACCACAGCTCCGGCCTGAACTGCGGAAGATGGGATTATATCTTCTCCTTCATCAAGAAATTCCGCCAGAATCCTAACTTCGTGCTCCCCGATCGTTCCTCCGTCACCATGACCGTGCCATTCATGGATGCTTATGTCCGACTCTTGATCAAGACTTGCCATAGACGCGGTGTGCACGCAATGGTGAGTGCTTCTGCAGTCAGTTTTCTATTTGACGTCCTAGAATTGACACAAGCGGCAGGGTGGCATGGCTGCTCAAATCCCAATCAAGAACGACCCCAAGGCCAACGAGGCTGCCATGGAAAGCGTGCGTGCCGACAAGCTCCGTGAAGTGCGTGCAGGCCACGACGGCACATGGGTTGCCCATCCCGTTCTGGCATCAATTGCTTCTGATGTGTTTAACAAATACATGCCCACTCCCAACCAGCTCTTCGTCCGAAGGGAGGATGTCCATGTAACCGCCAATGACCTTCTCAATACCAATGTTCCTGGTAGCATCACCGAAGACGGCATCAGAAAGAACATCAATATTGGCCTGTCATACATGGAAGGATGGCTCCGCGGTGTCGGCTGCATTCCCATCAACAGTCTGATGGTACGTGAGGCCCAGTGTTGGCTCTGCGGAGAAGTAACATCGGAAACTAACGTATTTCACAGGAGGATGCTGCTACTGCTGAAGTGAGCCGAAGCCAGCTTTGGCAATGGGCTCGACATAACGCCAAGACGGCAGAGGGCAAAAAGGTCGACAAAGCTTACAACTTGAAACTCTTGAAAGAGCAAGCGGATGAGCTCGCCTCCAAGGGCCCCAAGGGCAACAAGTACCAGCTTGCTGCCCGCTATTTCGCTGGCCAGGTGACCGGAGAAGACTATGCAGACTTCTTGACATCGTGAGTTATCTTGTTCCACATGCTGTTTTTGCTAGTGACAACTTTGCTGACCGTATAATCTCTCACCAGGCTGTTATACAACGAGATCTCGGCTCCTGGAAGTGCAGCTAAGCTGTAAATCACCCATATCAATTCAAAGAAACCCCTCCCTTAGTATCCACAAAACCGCTACTGAGCAATAACACTTCATCCAGAACATGAAAGTCCCCACCTGATTCTCGCTGTAGAAGGCCCTGGCAATCGGGATCAAGGGATCGGTGACAATTTCATCACAACATCTGCCTCGACGTTAGGGCTATGTATCTCTTTTTGGAAAAAGATTATATTATGTTAGCTTGCCGTCCTCATTTTGGAGTAACATATAGTTTCTGTAACTCATATTTTTAAAAAAATGATCACAGAGGAGATAATTGTGAAATAGTATCTGCGAAGCTCATGTATCTATCCATCTGCTTCATCTCCAAGTTCTTGATGGCCTGCTGACTAAGACTCGCGTGGTGAATCGCGTCTTTCAGTCTCTCACTCGCACCCTCACTTTCTTTCTCGATCGTCAGAACAACATGGAGAATTGAGACCCGTTCCACCCAACTTGAACATTGCACAAATCACTGACTAACTACAGGCTCGAGGCTCCTAACTGCACACCACTTTACCACGTATACCAACATGGAACTCAGCTTGCCCATCCGCGGCACATCTGAACCGCCTTCTCCCACTGCTCGAAGCGTTTCTCAGCCTCTGCCTTTGGCACCTTTGGCTCGAATACCGTTTGTCCATCTACATTCACGGATTCCAGCTCTTGAACATCTTGCCAAAATCCCACCGCGAGCCCTGCCGCAATGGCCGCTCCAAAAGCAGTGGTTTCTCGCATCGCGGGCCGATTAACGGGTATCGAGATGAGATCCGCTTGTGTCTAGTTCGATCAATATTTGACGTCTGCAGAAGGTGTCGTATTTACTCACTTGCATTGTCAAATCGCTGTTGCACATCCCACCATCCACGGCTAACTCCGTCAGCGCTCGACCACTGTCCTTCGCCATGGCATCGAGTATCGCTTTTGTTTGGAAACATGTCGCTTCCAATGTTGCGCGGGCGATATGTCCGCGCTTAGTATATGTGGTAATGCCGAAAATAGTCCCCCGGGCGTCGTCTATCCAGTATGGTGCAAAAAGTCCACTGAAGGCCGTGACAAAGACACATCCACCGTTATCCTCAACCGTCTCCGCCAGCCTGTTTATTTCTTCGGATGACTTGACAAATTCAAAGTTGTCCTTGAGAAATTTAACACTTGAGCCAGCTACGGCAATACTGCCTTCTAGCGCATACATCACTTCGCCGCCAAAATCGTATGCAACAGTCGTGAGCAGTCCGTGGTTGGAGATCACAGGATTCTCGCCCACATTGTACAGCAAGAAGCAGCCCGTCCCATAGGTATTTTTGGCCTTGCCGGGAGTAAATCCTTTTTGCCCTACAAGGGCAGCCGATTGATCGCCAAGGCAGCCCGTTATTGGCACACCCCTTAAAACTGTTGAGGCCAGTGACCCGTATCCCTTTGGATCAGACGAATGGATTATGGTTGGCAAATGTAACTTCGTCCGATTTAGTCGGAAGAAGTCGATTAGGGTTTCACTGTACTGGCGAGTTCTTATGTCCATGAACATCGTTCGAGACGCGTTTGAAGGATCCGTCACAAAGACATTATTCTTCGGCCCGCCATTGAGTTTATAAACCAACCAGGTGTCTATTGTCCCAAAAGCAAGGACGCCGTTTTCATAAGCCTCTTTAACCCTGGGCACACAATCCAGGAGCCAGAGGAGTTTCCCCACCGAAGGGTACGTTGATAAGGGAAGACCACAGTGCTCCTGAAGCTCACTATGCCCCAACCGCTGCTTTAGTCTCCGGATTAGTGACTGCGTTCGAGTATCCGTCCACACAATCGCATTATACAGTGGCTCTCCGGTTTCCTTATTCCAAACGACGGTAGTCTCTCTTTGGTTCGTGATACCGACGGCTTTGATTGATCCCACATTGTAACCTTGATGTTCGAAGCTGGATACAGCGCCGTCGATACACCTTTCCACAGATGTGACAATTTCTATCGGATCGTGTTCATGCCAACTAAGTTAAGCTATCTGTCAGTCTCGATGGAGATCTTCGATGGAGCACCCATTACCCACTCACCCCGGTTGCGGGTATATCTGGGTAAATTCCAACTGATGCGAGGCTACGACTTCTCCGTTTTGGTTAAATATCAAAAACCTAGAGCTTGTCGTCCCCTGATCGATCGACCCAATAAACGATTCGACGTCTTTTGCCATGTTTTGCGTTTTGATTTAGAAAAGTCGAATGAAGGAAGTAAATCCGATATCTAAAACAGATGGTTTTATACCATCGACAGAGTCGGTTGGACTGGCTATATCTAGGAACCTTGCGCCCGTATTCTTTTCCATCTCTGGGCGCCAGACCTTGCAAAGAGACATCGCGGCCGGATTTATCCAGTGACCAGGGGGACGTATAATTGCGGGCTATCTGATCACGGTTGCCATCCCTGACCAATTCCGAAACCGACCTTTTCACATGCGTTCGCCTTCACGGTTCTCGGGACTCAAAAGGTGATGGCGACGCTCGGGGTGCAGAATTCCCCCCCATGATCGACATGCATGCGGACCCCTGCAAGCCAACGGGTAAAACCAAAGATTCTCCACTGCCAGTGGTCAGAGTGTTGGGAAAGATTGAATCCTGGGGCTCACGATCAATCGCCCAGAGCTTCGTTCACACCATCATTTCGACTTCCTATTCTTCCTTGTATTACGGCTCCTCGTGATACAAAAAGGACAGTCATACATAAGACAAGCAAAAGAGTTGTACAGTAGCCCTGGCATGTCGGCACGTTTTCGAATGACATATTCGGGCCACACTAATTAAGTGATACGTCAACAATCCTTTCTGCACCCTGTGCATACCCTATCAGCTCCTATGCATACCCTATCAGCTCCTATATCCAATGGGCTCGGCCTGTTGTTCTCTGTGAGACAATGATAATGAAATCTAAGGTAACGCGACAAAGGCAGATATCCCATGCACCTGAATGCTGCAACGCACGGTGATATGGCGACTGCAACCTCGAGGACATTATCGGAGGTTCCTACCTCCCCTTGAGTACCTGAGGCTCGTCGTTTCTCCCATTTCTTTCCCCGCGCCAGACAAGGTGCTGGGATGATTTCTTACGCAGGATGGATTCCTTGTAAGTTGGCAAAGTACATACATCCTAGTTTTGCAAGAGGAAGAATACTTTTAGTGACCACCCAAATATCAGTCTAATGACGATTCGTGGATTTACGGCCGAAAGCCTGCAGGGCATGCGCAGGTTTGCTGGTCTGTCCTACAGTGAACAGTGAATCTGGCCAGACTCACTTATTGGTGAAAAAATATATCTAGTTCACCCGAACGGCTCCCAGATAGCCAAACATTCCAATCAGTGTTCCTTCCGCTTAGATTGCCTCCAAAACGTCTAATGGATCAATCACCCATCAAGATGGCGCCAGTGATTGAAGAGATGACTGTGGAGACAACAACCCAGAAAGGTGCACTATCTCCTATCATTGTCTAATTATTCGATATTGGTTTCTGATGTTTGACGACCCTAGACGTCGTAGAACGTGAAGAGCTGGTTTGGAGCAGAATCCGCCATACTTTCCGGGAGCCATTCGCAGAATTTTTCGGCGTCTTCGTTTTGGTGCTCTTCGGCAATGGGTCTGTAGCCCAAGTGGTTCTTAGCAAAGGCGAAAAAGGCAGCTACCAATCTATTTCGTGGGGTTGGGGGTACGTATATCCCCTATCTAGATCGGTGTTTACGCTCAAGAAAGATGCTCACTGGCGCACGCCCCTTTTCCAGACTGGGTGTGATGCTCGGCGTATACACCGCGGGAATCTCTGGCGCTCACCTCAATCCTGCTGTCACCCTGGCCAATTGCATTTTTCGGAAGTTCCCGTGGAGGAAGTTCCCCATATACTCGTTGGCCCAAATTCTAGGCGGATTCTGCGCCTCTGGTGTCGTATACGCCAATTATATCACTGCCATTGACTTCTATGAGGGAGGTCAAGGCATCAGGACAGTCGGGCTAGCCACTTCCTCGGCCGGCATCTTCTGCACTTACCCAGCACCATTTGTGACTCGAACCGCTCAGTTTTTCTCTGAGTTTATTGCCAGCGCCATCCTAATGTTTTGCATTTTTGCGCTTCTCGATAACGGAAACTATGGGGCTGGGAAAATGACACCTCTAGGACTCTTCTTCGTTATTTTCGGCATCGGAGCATGCTTTGGATGGGAAACCGGCTATGCCATCAACCTGGCCCGAGATTTTGGCCCACGCTTGATGTCATTTGCTCTGGGATATGGACGTGAAGTCTGGTCCGCTGGAAATTGGTACTTTTGGGTGAGTGGCTGGATGGTCCAAGCATTACCGCGGGCATACACAGCTAATCGTCTCACCAATCTATTCTAGGTGCCTATCGTCGCTCCGTTTTTAGGTTGTGTGTTTGGTGGCTTCTTGTATGATGTCTTCTTATACACGGGCGATAGTCCCATTAACACGCCGTGGATGGGACTCAAACGCCTTTTGCGACCTACGCCTGCTGTATGGTCGAACACCAAGTCGGATACGTATGTGTGAGATGCTATGAAGCCAATTGTGCCGGATGCATAACGAGTGGGTGTTCGCAGCCAGTTGATAAAAGGTTAATATATAAGTGAAACATCACCGCTATAGGAAAGGGATGTATAATGACTTCTACCCTTATGAAATTGGATATTAGAAAGCAATGAAACAGACTGATAAGATTGATACCACGTTCCTCGCGAAACCAATCCGCAAGAGCTTGCGTTGCAGTCCTCAGTGTCACGGAGTTCAGTAAAACCTCCATTGTCAGTGGAACCGTACACTTAGTTTCCTGCTGTCGACTGCACATTATCCAGTTGTATCTCGTTCGTCTGTTCATTCCCAACAGGAAACAAAACTTGGAATCTCAAATTCGTAGTATCGGTTCCCAAAGGGACGTCCAAGGGGTTGGGAAGAATGTTTCGTGCCGTCGTGGGCACGGCGTAGGCCGGGTTGACAGCTGCAGTTTGAGTGAATGTTTCGGTCTGAACATTTGTCATTTTTTCAACATCCGGTATGGTCCCAACCACAGTGATGATTCGATGGTCGGTTTGGGAATCGGCAACAGTCTGAACTGCAGTCTCTGAGAACGTTTGTCTCGGTAACAGTCACAGCCGCCCGAGTTTCCACCGCGGCCACAGTCTATAAAAAATGTCAATCTAGTCACTTCAAAAAGGGGGCGTACATTGGGCCCTATAGCAGTGACTTGACTGGGACTGATAGTGATAGTGGCGGTGCGATCAACTGTCTGTGCGGTGCCATTCGCGCAGCTTAATGTCCCAGTCGGGGTGATGGTCTTTGTGCATCTGGTTACAGTCTGCAGGGAATGCACAATGTACGACATTTGGTATTTTGTAGTATCCAGGGGCACGGGAAATTAGTCGCAAAGCTCAGGGAGACCAAAAAGGCAGATAGCGGTTGAACAATTGGGAACTGGAATAGAATATGTAGGTCACATATTGTAGCAGCCCTGGCTGCTTCCAACCAGCATTTTGGTTCAATTAACTATCAGGTCCGATCTTTGCTTCTGTTCCTCTCCCTCTCCCTTGGATCTCGTCCAACCACGCTGGATCAATCGCTTCCATGAACAGATACGGACTGCGGCCATAGCCTTCAGCGACACTTGCCAACACCTTGCCCAAACCCAAGAAACTCCACATATTCGTTCGATTCTCATACATAGTGGAATAATCTTCATATCGCGGGTCTTCGATGAGATTAATATAATGCAGTGAGCTCCCCGGCCAAATGGCGTTGACGCGGCCAGTTTCATTGTTCTTGTACCAACTGCGGGCAATCATCACTCCAGACAGTGTGCTTGACCCATTCCTGTACATGTTCATTGAAGGCATCTGTAACGTCTTGACGGGGTGCGATCGCGCGAATATATTCGTTTTGGATCTTTTTTATTAATTTGACAGCATCATTGCCAACTTCAACAAGAGGCCCGATAACCGAGCCCTAGACAAAGAGTAAGTGGCTATATTTCACGAACAAGGGGTATCGTATATCAAACTCACGTTTTCTACAGGCCAAGTCGGCCCAATAAATGTCATATAGTTAGGATATCTAGCTTTTTGTTAGAAAAATTCTCCAGAGCACGCCCCAGGAATCGTTCACATTTCCCTTTACTTGCCCTGGAATTGCCAGCCCAAGATATGATTCCGGCCAGCTTTTCCACTTCTCGGCCAGACCAAGGCCTCCCTCGCCAATAATAGGGAACCTCGGCCGGTAAGACGTATCAAACCCAGTAGCACACACAATCGTATCAGCCTCTCGTTCAATACCATCTTCGCCCAGTAAGCCATTCTCAGTGAACTTGGCCACCGCTGTAAAATGAACATCCACATTGGGTTTTGGATTGCCAGCATATAAGGATCACCCGGAGTCACTTGCTGGCATCTGATAGAAAAGTTTGGAGTAAGTCCTACATGCTCGGGTGGGTGAGGGTTCAAAGAGTCGGTGTTGAATTGGTTTACTGACCTTTACGTTTATCCCTGATCCATTCCGCCATGCGTGGTTTCAAAACCTCCTGGGCGGTGTTCTGCCCATTGCTACCTTTATAGAATTATCCCCAAACGCCGTGAAATTGATCTTCATTAAATTTGGCCTGCTTGACCAGCTCCTCTGGGTTGTTCCTAAACTTCTCTTTTTCGTCTTCCGAGTAGGCTTTATTCAGGCCGTCATTACCTGCCATACTGGTGAACCAAATTCCCTGTTCAAAATTGATCAGTACCCTACCGCGTAATGAAAACATCAGCGGAGACTGACTGCCGGGCGAAAATATCCGTGTTCGATATATGGCTGCATTCCTGGGACAGTTTGGATACTAGATGCCCCGCTTCCGATAACAGCAACTCTATCATTTTTCCATTGCTCTGGTTGGTAACCTTTAGGCCAGACTGCTGTGTGTACTATCTATATTATCATTTCAGTTTGTTAGAGAAACAGTTGCTAGCATCGTGCGCGCGGAGAAACTCACCCTTCCCTTGAACTTATCTATTCCGCCAAGCTCGGGCGATTTATAATTATTCAAGAAACCAGCCCCGTTCAGCACGTGGCACCTCTCTTCAAAAGCTTTCTCAGTATCATCTGGCAGTGTTTGCATGAGGGTAACCCTCCACTCTCCTGCATCTTCCTAGTAAGCACCCGTGACTTGCGTGTTGAAAGTCATGTATTTGCGTAGGTCGCAGGTGTTACACACCCGATCCAGATATGTCCAGATATCCGGCGAGTAGGAATAGAAATTAGGCCATTCAGGCTGTCCAAAATGAGTTAGACGGAATTTCATCAATGGAGATGGCAGATAGTAGTCAATAGCCAGATACGGTGCACTCACATTTAGCGCAAAGTTGTATATATATGCATGGCTTGGAATATCATAGGCACAATTCGGATATCGATTTTCCAGCATGTTCCTCCAATATCCTCATTCCTTTCGTAGATGACATGTTTGACGTTCTCTGTTTCCTTTTTTATATGCCATCAAAATTCCACTCACCCCAGCGCCGATGGTAAGCACTTTAATCTTTCGCCTGTAACTACTGAGCATAGCACATTGGTCTATTTCATAACGACCCGTAGAAGGAACACCGGTATCGTCCGGCGTTCCCTCGGTAGGGACACCCAATGTGATGGATGAAGAGAAGAAAATTGAAAAAAGAAGCTAACTTGATAAGATTAACAGTGCTAAGGATATACCGTAGAGTCTGCCAGCGACAGAAATAGAGGAAAGTAGTGAGAGTTCAAGAAGGTAAACCGGAGTTATACTCCAGGGGCGTATCCCGGATATAACTAACGTCCTGGTTTTTCCTGGCCATGCAGTCACCGAGCTCAAGAGATTCCGAGATGTGTGATTCACACCTAAGCAAATAACTATAAACCATCCGATATAGGATGATCATCCCCTCACATCTCTATGGAACCTTTTAGAGGGAGCAGCTGCGTTACTCGTCTTCTAGGTCTCCACGGAGCCTTTATTGTATTCAGTACATTTATTTGATACAGTCGCGTCTTAACCGAGGATATCTCTTCCATTAAGATCCGCTTGAGTCGTGTGCAGTGCCCTAGCTACCTTTCTAGAGGTGCAGAGTGTGTTTTCGGACCATTTTATACCATATAAATGGCCAATGGTATCTCGTGGTAAGCATATCCGGGGTTGTGCTCAATTTCTCGATCTTCTGCACACCGTATATGTGTCCCGAAAACGGTACCATTTTCGAGAGGTTTCAGTACAGAAGAGCATCATGATCAGTAGTATGCCATAAATCCGGAACGGACTTCATATAAAGTATGTCGGATATGCATTCTGCATGTTAGGCAACCCAGACACGTATTCAAGCTGACCGGAAGGAAAACGAAAATCGCGTGTTTTCACACGCCAAAAACAACGTGCATCGCCTCGCGTCATATAAAGGCTCCATCGGTGTGTATTGACCTGCAGAAGATCCAGACAAAATAGCGCATCACATCCCAGATGTGGCTGAGGCACAAACAAATGGAGCGAGACGCCAAGACTTCATAAATGCAATGGCCAGTTGATCAAAGGAGTGGGAGATTTAATCATCTGTGTTTCGGAAAGGGAAAGTTGATGCACGTAGATATCAACTGATTTATCGAGATCGCGAGAATGAAGGACCTTAAATGACTTTAGGTTGCGCCTCTCCCAGAAAGAAAGCAGTTAATTGACGCTTTTACAGCAACGTCGCCCTCAGCTGAGCAGACGTCTGTTGTGTCACGTCGGGTCCCGCGAATGCCACCAAGATCCCGGGACCTAGAATTCACCTACAAGCGGCAAGTTTCTGGAGCTTTTGCCAGCCCATATTTTAAATGCACCTGCCGTTGGCATGACCCAATTCTGCTCCTTCGTACTCCAATAGCTTAAATCTTTCCGTGTTAGTGACAGGTTGACTGCGGCTGACTCGCCTGCGCTTAGCTCGACCTTGTGGAAAGCTCGGAGCATCCGGACAGGGAATTCGATAGACGTCAATGGCTCTGTGCGATTAGCTGTTAAGTTCCTATCTGGAACCGCAACCTCTGTTATATTCGTCGGGAATGAGACGTAGACCTGGACAACTTCCTTTCCGGTCCGCACGCCGATATTAGTTAAGGAGATAGACACATTGACGAAGGGCTCAAACAGCGATGGGTTACCGCCCTCGCCTCCACCGGCTTGTGATGGCTGTTGGGTGATATTATACCCTTCGGGATATTTGTACTCTCCTCGCTTTACCTGCTTCGCAGATGATATGTATGGATAGATATACTTAGACAATATCCGGAATCCTTTCGGGAACAGGGCCTCTTTCAAAGACGGAATCTCATCGCTGTACGAGGGCGGCAGTATTTTCGATTCAGGTCGTCGCGAAGGCAAAGCTGTTTTATTTTGCAATGGAATAATGGTGATATTGGAAAACTGGAACGTTGTATACGAGAGCCCATAGCCGAACTCATAGCGAGGCGTAATGTTATGCTTGTCAAAGTAGCGATAATCGATGTAAAGTCCGTGGGAAAAGTCTTTTTGGGGAACGGGGTCGTCCGTTTGATACAACACTTTGGCTTCTGGCCCATAATCATCGCTGCTTTTGCCAATAGTATAAGGCAGCCGACCACAAGCATCGACATCACCGAACAAGAAGTCCACAAGTGCATTCCCGCTTTCTTGGCCGGGGAGATTCGCAAGTACAACAGCCTTGACCCCTGGGAGGTCAACCCAAGATTCGAGAATAACAGGGCCAACAGCATGAATGACGACAATTGTTGGGCCAGTTCCGTTTCCACACTTCGATTCGACGTGTTTAATCAATTGATCTCCGCCCTTTTGCAAAAAGAGGTCATTGCGATCTCCACGTAAATCACCATCAGACGCAAACCCCTCGCCCGCATCTGCGTTCACAAAAACAATACAGAGATCTTTATCACTCAGGTCTCGATCCGAAACTTTGTTCTCCAAATATAGCGAAACCTCAGTGTCATTGTTGAACTCTCTCTTCAGCGCTTTCCCTGGTGTTATAAGATATGGGAAGTCGACGGCACCACTACCCCATCCCGAGCCTAGGGTGCCTTGATTGCATGCTCGATCTGGACAGAAATTGGGGCCTTTTCCTGGGCCGGCGTCTTCTCCGTAGATTCCAACACGATATGTTGTAGTATTATAATCACTTCCATTCCTGAAGAGAGGCAATATCTCATCCTCATTCTTCAATAAAATGGTGCTTTCGGCTGCAATCAGACGTGCCACTATTGAATGCGCGTTGTCTCCCTTCCCTTGAGCATTGATGTACTTGTTCACTACACCAGTAGCGTCTTTATCATCACTTCCCTGGTGAATGCGTCCAATCCTCTCTTTTGTCCATGATGAGAAATTTGGACCACCTTCATCATCAGGTGGGGGTTTTGGCCAAGAATCCTGGCCCAGTTGATACCATGCAGCGACTATTCTGGTAGCCATATCATTCAAACGCTCCATCGGCACGGATGTGTTCAGCGCTGCTATGGTAAGATTGCTTCCCCAATATGAGACTCCGGGGCTTAGACGAGGGCCACCTCCAGGCATTGACATATCCAAACCCGCGAGAGCGGTGGATACGCCAGCTTGTTGGGCCCACCAATCCGATTGTACGAAACCTTGAAATCCTAGTTCATCCTTGAGTATACCGTTTAAAAGGAGGCTATTCCCGCAGGAGTAGGAATTATTAACCATCTGGTAGGCACACATGATGCTAGCCACGCCTGCTCTCACACTTTCGGCAAATGGCCACACATAAACCTCGCGCAAGGTCCGATCATCAATGTTGGAAGACATTGCATTCGGTATTCCCCATTCAAGAGGCTGTCTGTAATGCTCTTGCTCGTTTAGAACGTAGTGTTTTGCCGTGGCTATGACACCATTTTCTTGGATACCTTTAATAGTCTCTGCTGCAGCAACACCTTGAAGAACGGGGTCAGAGCCAAATCCTTCCCAGTTACGACCCCCGGCTGGTAAAGTGCCTAAGGGTCCCATCGCGGGTCCGAGAAGAACGTTGACCCCTTTAAGGCGAGCTTCGAGTCCTAGTAGCTGACCTCTTTTGCGCATCAGATCCCGGTCCCAGGTAGCGCCAATTGTAATGCCTGCTGGAAAGGCAGTGATATTATCCGCGAACCGCAAACCCAATGGCCCATCCTGTAAACAGAGAGACGGAAAACCTGCAAAAGTAGCTGGGCCTATTTCATATATGGTAAGCGGAAAGCTCAATCCATTGCAAGTATGCATACATATACGTCGGAGTGAGCTTTTTCCCATAACCGCGGATATCACTTACCAGTATTTCCCACGCAGAGGCCCATTTGCCAACCAACCCCTGTTGTAATGTTCACCTTCTCGGTCAACGTCATGGATTTAACCATAGTTTGTGCTTTACTATAGCTCTCTGCCCAACTGGACGTAGTTCCACCTTTTGGGGTTGGATACCATGGCGGAGAGAGCTACAGGACATAATCAGCTTTCCACTATCCCTAGCTGTCTCCAAGCGTATCAAAGGGTCAAAAGTTAAAGCACTCACCCCATCTTTCGGCGCATTTGGATCATCTTTCTGCTCTCCCAAGTCCCCTAACCTCCCCAGGCCGCCAAGGACAGCAAGCACGGTGCCCACAGCTAGAATCGTGATTATCAACAAAGCAAAATACCGTTTCTTACGGAGCCACTCAGGAAGTAGCTTATTTTTCTTCCTCTGAACAGCTTCAGTGGGCCGTAATAGGCCCACAGCTTCATAGGTCGAATCCCTGTGATCTTTAAATTCAGGGTCTTCTTGATACTGTCTGGGAGGCGCAGGGTTCCCGTCTTGCGGAGGGCAGTGGAGTTGCGATGCCGTTTCTTTCATGGTATCAACAATGTATGGGAATCATTTAATAGGATCCGATGGAGTAAATTCTGATAGAAGGGAAAAGCGGATACCAAAAGTATATCTGTCGATCAAGCAAATAAAGTGCAATTGGCTTTTCAATCACTTATGATCTAGAATTCAAAGTAAATCCGACTATTATACGGCGTATAGGTCCCTAGCATGCCACAATGATGGACCGTCGTTTGCACACTGGATAGGTTTGCTTCTTTTGATGCTCGCAATGTTGCTTTGTCAACAAACAGGGCGCACAGACCAGGCCGTTCTTGGCATCAAATCGACCTCGTCGGCTGCAGAAACTCAAATCAGCCCAGCTCCCACACGAGACAAAAGCCAGATAATTGGGAGAAATCTATCTTTGGGTTGCCTATCCAAGACACGGATCTCTCCACTGAGTCTATGTACATTTTTATGCAATCTCCTTGGTTAACTCGTCATCTTCGCGCGAAAGATCAGCCTTCTTATGCATTTACAGTTTGATGCTTTCTCTTCGATGGACATTCATCCCAGCCTCAGTGTGACGTGTCGATTGGCCTCTAAACTCACGTCTTCCTCGAACAAACCAGTCGATGACAATAATTATGATCACAACGGCGTACACGACGGAAACATAGTTCATATCTGAGGAGTGGGTTAGTTTCTATTCCCTGTAACTGTTGATCAGACGCGGGAGATGGGGGAAACCTACTTCCAACTTCGACAGGATACACGGACGGGAAAGAGAAAATGACAATGGTAAATAATGTCCAGGCAAGCACGATAATGTTTGCTGCGAGTCCGACCTTTCCAAGCCAGAAGGGGCCATGTTGGATATTGTTGCGGCCACGGATAAGAAGGCAGATTATGGGAATGGCGTATGAGACGTACAGCAGGACAATGCAAGCTGTGACCATGCTGTTGAATGCAGCCGAAGATCCGAGGTAGAGGAGTCCAAGCACACCGACAATAGCGCAGCTGAATGAATGGGCAAGGAAGGGAACATCCAGCCTAGGGTCGATTTTTGAGATCCAGGAGTGAAACGGCAAGCCCCGATCCCGAGCGAATGACCAGCAAAGTCGGGATTGCCAAGTATGCGAGGCAATTTGACATCCCATGCCAGTAGCCAGGATAAGAGATTGCAACGCGATGGCACCAGCTCGGCTGTTTAGAGCTTGGTGGAAAAGTTCCAGAATAGGCACCCCCGTCGCGCTGTTCACAACGGCTTCGAAGTCGTTTAGGCTAAAAAACATGGAGATGACAAAGCACCATGCAGTGGTGAAGCCAATAGCAACGGTGCCCATGATGGCGATTGGGATGGCTCTTTCCGGACTCGCGACCTCCTCCGCCATGTGCGTTGCGGAATCGAGACAGGCGAACACCCAATTGCAGTTGATCAGACCAACCAGATACGCAATGCCGTTTGATTTCCAACCAGTGGAGTTGATAAAAGTCGCAAAGACGAATTTAGGGCTTTGGTGCGTCTCCGCCCTGGATGGGACGGTTATCAAAATGGTGATGAACGAAATGAGCGATGTGTATAAGGTCACTGTTGCAACTTTGGGGAGAAGTTTGCCCACACAGTTGAACAAGAACGCGAAAGTGTTGATGACTTGATACGCAACAACAGCGTGCCACGCCTCAGGTACGCTTTAGTTTCAAGACGATTAGCAACCCACAATATAAAAGAATGACGCCTTTCATCGATGGTATGGATATTGGCACTGAGAGATGTGGATTCAACGTACAAATCAGGATGCGCTAGCTGATACATCCCTACACCAACTAGTCCTAGACTCAGAGCAACACTTGCAGATGTGAAAATGCTTCCTGCCCAGGCAAACCATCCGGTGAGGTATGATGCGAAGTTTGCATATTTTTTGGGCGCCAGCTCGTTTGCCCAGAAATACTGGCCACCAGCATTTGGCATAGAACTTGCAAGCTCGGAAAGGGTGATTCCGACACAAGTAGAGATGAAAGCGATCCAAGGGATCCCCGTATACAGTCAACACAGGGCCGCCTGAGTTGATACCGGTGATCAACGAAGCGGAGATGCCGAACCAAGAATTTGTGAGAGAAAAAGCCCACTGCAAGTAGTGATAGAACGGGAGAACTTTCGTTTCATGTCCTGGGAGTACCCCATGGCCGCGAGCTTCCTGGCATCGTCGTCCATGGAAGAATCATCCACGCCATGGTCGGCGGCGATGTGCTTTTCCGTGTCCACGATAGACATGTTGTATTCGAAAGTTCGATTGAACGATACAAATCTATTCTCGATTCACAATGAATGACTTGTATCCGTGCCCGTTAGACTGGGCCAATTGACCTAGATTTCCTAAGAGAAAACAAGCATATATCAACTCCTCTGTCGCATTAGGGCAAGAGATACTTGGCCACGGGTGTGTACATAAACGCACTCGAAGTTATGTCGCGTTGGGATTCTTGTTGCATGGGGAGTCGCTACAATCCTCTTGATGAGATTCCTGCACAGCGGGTCGAAGAGCTGACGATGCAGTCCCGCGCAACGAAAGCGCTGAAGTGAAATCGAACGACCTGGGCGAGTGACGGCAATTTTGGTCCTCGTGTCTCGTGACCCTTGGGCCTGCTTGATCCAATCTGCAGCGGATAATGCTGAAATTTGATAACGGGAATGAAGCTAAGATAAAGCTTTGAGAGGGTGGCTTGAAGAGAAACACCAGCCTGAATCACAGAGCGCGTTCATAGAGCCGCGCAAGAATGATGGAAGACCGAACAGACGGCACAAGACTTTGGAAGAAGGGAAAGAAGCCAGGCTGAAAGGGATTTTCTATCGAGTGGCCTGGGGAATTGTCTGCTGCCTCTCTTTTTCAAGCCCCAAAATTTCTTGCTGCGCTTTCAACACCTAAATTCACAAGTCCACTCCACTCGTATCTCCATCCAATTTTCCGTGCTTTCGTGATCCACTTGTAACGTCGTGGCGCACGAGCTTAAAAATGTTTGAAATCTTCCGATATCACGATCTGTGTGATCAAATTCGACAGGCAAAAATGGAAAAGCGCAGTGTTTTCCCCCCACAGAGGGGCAATTCCGTGCAGGGCGAGCCACTTAAAAACGAGGCCCAAGGGAAGGGTTCGTGGCAAGACTGGGCCAAAGTTGCCGCGCTTCCCCTACGGGGACCCTGAACCACAACCGAATCACGGTTCATTTTTCGCTGGGATCCTGTGGTTTGTTGAGAGACCTCGGAAGGGTCTGACTTGGGACGGAAGGACTTGGAAGCGGGTTGAAGGACCCCCATCGGTCTGTGGCTTGACGGTCTGCGTATTCTGATTGGCTGTCGTGGATGCCAAGACCTGCAAACCCACCGTGGTCATTAAGCTTTGGGCCATTCCGCTTTGGATTGACAATGATGTCATCTCGTTTTCACGTGATTTTGTGGGCCGGTAGTTTGTTTTGTTTGATTCGGCTTGCCTGGGGAAACATCCGTTGATAGAACTCGGTGGACATCCATATCAGACCGGCCAGCACATGGGCAGGTTGGTGGCGTTGTTTGACAGATTGAGTGTGGCTGCTGCTTGACATCATGCGAACAATTCATGCAGGAAGCACTGACCCTCGGAGAGCCCGACACCATGCAGACTGCAAAGTCAAAAAGTCTCAGTGCCAAATTTCAGCCCCAACAAGCCGGGCATTGCCCGAGAAGGAGGTCAAAAGCTTTGTATTTAGACTTTGGATAGGATGATTGGTGGATGACGGTAATCGGTGCTCTCTAGTCTGTCTCCCGAGTTCCTTGAGGTCGAGTAAATCCGCGAAACAAACAAGCTTGTGCTCCAGTCAGGGGCCTTCGTGAAGCCAGTAATTCGGTGCTGAAGAGTCGCTTGGAAGCAAATGCTCATGACCACTGAAATGGATTATTCGACATCAAAGCCAAGCAATATCAACGTTATCCAAGATTCATCTTAATCCAAGATTCATAAAAAAACGAGACAACCAAAACATTTGCGTACTCAATATAGGGACAAGTGAGTTGCGGAATCAAAACAAATCAATTAGTCTATTTGAAGGATATCCAAAAACCCATATAACTGCAAACCCTTCTTTTGTGAAACTCATAAAAATCATAACCACCCTTTTCTAAATGAACCCAGAACAGAAAGAACAAAATCTGGCCTACGCCTCGTCATCTGTATCCGGTGGATGCGGCGTACCCTTTGGGCTATTCAACCATTCAATGTGTCGAAGCCTTCGTCTAACTTCTCGCTCCTTCACTTGTGCTCTTGTCAGCTTCTTCTTCTTCTTCGCCCTGAATTTCAATTCCCCGGTGTCTTCAGTTCCGGAATTGACGGCCGACGCGTTTGCGCTGGAGACAACACTGCTAGCCACCGTGCTCGGAGCGTGGGAGCTGTCTTCGAAGCGGTCCAGCGCAACAGCACTACTACCCTTGTGAGTGATCCGCCCGTCGGCGACGAACCACTGTTCAGGGCAGAGTGCGCCAACGAATTCTTCATTGTGGGAAATCATAACAACGCCGCCCTTAAACTCTCGAATTGCAACCGCAAGTCCGCCTAAGAAATCGCGATCCAAGAAGTTGGTAGGTTCGTCGAGGACGAGGAGATGCGGGTTGTTCCACATGGCACCTGCTAGCACAACTTTGACTTTTTGACCGCCGGAGAGGCCGGAGATTTCGTTATGGTTGGCAATCTCGGGATCAAGACCGATGTCTTCAAAATGTTTTGAGATCACTTTTGGTTCAAGGACCCGGTAGCCAAGCCCTTCTCGGGATGCTTCATGATCATCAAATTCCTGGACAAGCTTGGCAAATCCAAGATCAAGGAGTGTTTCGCGAGAGATCTGCGTATTGTGTTTGGGCAGCAGGCCGACCCATTTCCTAAAAAGGTTAGCATCATGGATGGCTGGAGAATTTGATGTGATGCTTACACTTCATATTGGAAAGTTTTCTTATACTTCTGCCTTCCCATTAGGCATTCAATGCGGCGCGCACCTTTGCCGTCTCCCAGGTCCACTGGCTTTTCCATCTGTGCACGGTCCTCTTCAGTAAGCACGCGAGTTTGCTTCATCAAGACTTCGCGGTCATCACCGTTTGCATAGCGCCATTGCAGATACTGGTTGGGCGTTTTTTCCATGTGCATTTCCACGTGCTCCAAGGCATGCTGCTTGATATACCCAATTCGCAGGTTCGGGTGTTTTTCGACTCTTCCGGTTTGTGGAATAAGTTCACCAGTTAGCAGCTTCATAAGTGTTGATTTTCCAGCACCGTTGGCGCCGATAATTGCCACTCGAGATGATAGAGAGAGCAAACAAGACGCCTCAGAAAGTGAGGGTTTCGAATTAGAAGGATAAGTATATGAAACGTTCGTCATCCTGAGAATGGCGCGAGTCTGTGACTTGACACCCGCGAGAATACCGGGAGGAGGAAATTTGAAGTTTGCATTGATAGAAGACAAGGTGTAATAACTCTTCGCTTCTGGTCGAACCTTTACGAATCTGGAACAAATTACGGGTTAGCATTTTTCGGCGGATTCAAAAGGACCCAAAAGAAACTCACGCTGCAAGATTACCCTTATACAACACCAACTTCTTTTGCTCATAATGGTATATGTCTGTGCACACTGCATCTAAAAAGCCGGAGTCGTGACTGACGATTAAGCTGGTGATTTCAGTGTGTTGCTGCAAATATTCCTCCAGCCACTTGACATTGGCAACGTCAAGATGGTTGGTAGGTTCGTCGAGGAGCAGCACATCGGCCTTCATAATCATCGCACGTGCGAGGGCCAGCTTCATTTTCCATCCACCGGAAAGTGAGCTGACCGCTTGCTGCTGTCTCCCATCGGGCCCTGGTGTAAAGCCAACTTCGTTGAGTGCTCCTGCAATTATCTCAGAGCCAGCTCCAGCCAGTTCAGGGTCGTTTGTAAGAAATTCCAATACGCTCTGTCTGGCATCTTCACCTTGGTTGTGTTCGACAAAGCAAGATTTAAGAACGTCCTTCGGAGGGAATCCTTCCAGTTTTCCTTCAGCAATGCTGCGCATAAGGGTTGATTTTCCGACGCCGTTTCGTCCACACAGACCATATCGATGGCCTTTGAGCAATCGCAAGTTGGCATGAGACAGGAGAAGTCGACCACCATAACCAAGTGAGAAATCAGCATTCACGATTTCAATCTCGCCATCATCCTCCTGAACGGGAACTCCGTATTTTCGCTGGTCTTCCCCAATTAAATAACCTTTGATAGCGGAGGTTATAGCCTCTTCTCGATCCTCGTTGACCAGTGACCGAAGGTATGGAGTGACGCAAAGGGGAACGCGATCGAGCTGACGAGAATTCGCATCGTCGCGTACCATTTCAGCAATGTATCCCTTGGTGGCGTTCCAGAAAGACAAGTCCTCAGCTCGAACAATACCACCACTCACTTTAACTTCGGCCTCCAACACCTTCAAAACTTCATCGGTCGTTGTTTGTGGCACGGACCCTGCCGCCACGCCATCTTCTCCCATGGCCTTTTGAATCACATCCATCGCCCTTGTGGCGATCTCACGTACCTCCGGTAAAGAAGCTCCATCCTTTACACGCTGCACACCGGGTTTCAGCTTTGGTAAGAATGCTCTTGCCTCGACCGGGTCGTGAACGAGCTTGGTGAGATTCTCCACAACAATCACGGTTTGTCGAAGCACCTCCTGAGTAGTGGTTGGTGTATTAAGAGATCGCTCAAGAAGCGGCGTAAGCAGAGCAAGCACAGGAGATGTTACAACGGAAACAAAGGTTGTTTGGGAGAGGGCGTGAATCGCTTTCTGAAGGGTTTCGGCGGACGGCTTTTCCATCGCGGTGAGAAGGAGAGGGATTCTGGGTGCAACATCGTCGTTGTCGATCAAGGTGGTGAGAGCGAGCATAGTTTTCACAGCCTGCTTCGAAACTTCGTTTTTCAGGTCGTGCATTCCAGACTCGGCAATGGGAATGAGATCCTTCAATGTCTTTCCCATAGACTCACGAAGTAAATCCTTCAACAATTCTTTCTCCTTAGAGTCGGTTCCCATTTTGGCCTTATTGGCCATCTTTTCCAAGAGTTTATATGCGCCCACCGTGCCTTGCCATTTCCCAGTCGGTTTGCTGAGATACCTAATCAGCGCTGGGAGCAAAGCAGCAACCAGCGATTCCTCCTTCAGGCACGAAAACAAAGCGTCAACCGCATACTGAGCAGACTCGCGAACCACCGCTCCCTTATCCGCAAGCAGGTCCAAGGCCAGGGAAAGCATGCCTCCATCTTCAATCAGAAAAACAACTTCGCTCAGGGGGTGTTCCGGCGGGAATCTTTCAAACAGGGCACCCAGTATCAACATAGCACTTTCTCTCTTAGCTCCACTCTTTTTATCCGTCGCTGCTTTCTTGATTTCGCGCTGCAGATTATAACTGTGCAGCCCACGAACTCCGGCACTCTGGATGAGGAGGTTCGTGAGGGCGTAGGCGGCGTCGAGCGACTGTTGAGAGGTTTGGGCTTCAAATATGGCTTTGAGAAGAGAAGCCACTTCGGCCTCACCAGGGAGGGTTGAAGAGGGGGTTTTGGCGACCATCGTGGGATGGGATGTCGTCGCCTCCATTTCAACGAGGGGCATTATAATTGCGGGTAGCTCCCTGAAACTTTTCGGACAAAAAAAAAGGGTATCAATATAGGAAGAAAAGCAACTTTTGGCGAGGGAGAAAGCCCTATCAGAAAGGAAAAAGAACTATGAACGGTAAAAATTAGCAAAAAGGAAAAAGGAACTTATACAAGGGAAAAAAGAGGATGAAAGCTGACGCCTTGACGGTGTCGAAGCGACGAGATTTTTTTGGCCTACGGTCCCTTATCGTCAGCTTATCGCTGACTAAGCGTATAAAAATCTCGGATCAGGGGCAATTGTGGCGGAGTAGCTCAACCCTCTCGTTGAAGCATCGTGGATATGAGATGGAAGAGAGGCATCATCAATGTGTGATTAGTTAACTATATTAGCATTTCCTTCATTATTGCCCCGTTCATCATGCCACTCATTTTCCCCATAATATCATGCTGCCAACAAAGTTCCTCTAGGAAACCAGTAACACACCGCCCGAACAAGACTCGAGCAAATCTACAATATATGTACGTCGCAAAGTAGTTACAGGAATGAAAGCCTGCCAGAGGTCTAATGGCGCGAGCCAAAGGGAAGACGCGTTGACCCACGAACTAAATTACATTACGACACAATCACCCTCGTTCTGATGCTGCTTGCTGACTGCTGAACGCGAGACACGAGTTTTCTGCATTTTAGCACCGCCGCGCTTCAGGTCTTCAAGACGCTCACGAGCCTTGAGGAAATTTTGTGCTGTCGAGAAGACTTAGTAATGTAACCGGTATAGCTAAGGGAACGAGAAAGGGTGGGAAAACACTTACATGATGCCTTCCAGTACCACCGCTTCGCATCCTCAAGATTCGCGGGAACACCAATCCCAACCTCAGTAAAATAACCCATCGCGTACTCTGCTTTCGCCAATCCAGAAATGGCGGCTTTACGTGCCCAGAGATACGCTTCCGTATCGCTTTGCTGTAGAATACCTTCCGCCCCGGTGAGGTACCAACCACTCAGCGACAGTTCACTTTGATGCTCCCCTTGGGCAGCGGCACGGGTGTACCAAAAGATACTCTGACGTGCGTCGACAGGGCACCCAATAAGACCATACTCATACGCAGCACCAAGACGATGTTGAGAAAATTTGTAACCTAGTTCACCAGCTTGGTGTAACAGCTCCCTGGCGTAGTTTTCGTCGCGGATGACAGCATCATTGCCACTAGGGTTCTCATACAGGAGAGCCAACTCGTGAAGCGCGTGAGGGTTGTCTTCGTCTGCACGTTCGGCAGCCCGCTTGAGCCATGACAACGCTTCTCGAGGGTTCCTCGCTTGGCCCAGAAGCCCTTTTAACAATATCATCCCCATCTTGTACATAGCAGGAGTATCGCCTAGTGCCGCAGCTCGACGATACCATTGCACGGCTTTAATCGGGTCTCTTCTAGTGCCTCCGCCACCCTCATGACCCATTTCACAGCAAACAGCTAGTCGATAAGCGGAATCTGCATGGCCCAATTTCGCCGCGGACTGATATAGATTGAATGCCTCTTTGGGGTCGGCCTCCAAGCCTAAAAGACCCTGGCCATAGCAATCTGCCAAATAAAACATCGCATCGGGATATCCCACATTCACTAGCTTCTTAACAATCTTATGGGCATCAAAAATATACCTTTCGCGATTCTTATTCCTTGTTCTAGCATCGGCTCTGCCATTGTCGTCAATTAAGTGAGTAGACGCCTCCACCATCTTTTTGGCAAGGAGGAGCTGTGTTGCATGATCACCACGATTGTTTCGGGCAGCCTGTTGTATTCGATTCAGTTCATCAAAAGTGATGTGACCGGGATCGGCACCTGGTGGGGCAGTGGAGCCGATTGGTTTCTGTGGCGCAACATTCGCTGGGTTGTCATATTGTCTAATCGGAGCCGGCTTTGAATTCTGATCTAAACCAGGCCGGAAGGGGGCAGGATGGTGGGGAAGTGAGTCGGCCGAAGAGTATTGACCTGGCCCTGCCGCCTGCATTTCTAGAGGGTGCAAATATCCCTGTCTGTAGTCGAATGACGGCCGACGCCCAAGGTCGGTAGATGCCGGTTGTTGATATTGATTCGGCGGGGGACCTGTCGCATGGCCAGGCCTACCCGGACCTGGTCGTGGGGTCAATCCTCGATTTTCCGGTGGCCTGTAGTAACGATCTTCATAGCCGTAACCATTCCCCGGCGAGTCGAAGCGCGGAGACATTGGAGGATTATCATACTGGTAGCTGGAGTCTTCGTATTGATTCGGGCCTGGTGTTGGGCGGTATGGCTGCACCACTCCGCTCGGTGGTTGATACGCGGTATAGGCAGGCTTTGAACCCGATTGGGATGTGGTTGAACTATCTTTGGGTATCAGAGATTCTTCATGAGGCTTTCCGGTTTCCGAGGATTCCATGGCGCTAAAATTTGGCATATCATTTTCCTGGTCTGTAGGGTCGAGATAATGATCAAGAAAGTCATCTTCATCATCATCATGTTTTCGATCAACGTCAGCCGGCCTGTGCTCCTCTGGTACAGGTGGTACAGTTGGTGGTGCTGAGACTTCAGGTCGCACTCCAGTAGTGGTTGCGGGTCTGGGAGGAACCGCCTGAACGCCGCTCTGAATGAAATTAGACCGAGGATCCTGCCAGATTGGCTGTCCTGGATACCTTGGCTTCTGCGTCTCAGGTAGCGCATTCAGCGGCATTGTTGCGCTGCGTTTGGGGGGTGCCAAGTCGGGCGCGATATGCTCTGGGGGAGCTGAGTATGGTTCCCGGGTAGTCGATATTTGCGGGCCGTTCAGGGCATTCCATTCTTGACGATTGGTGTTTAAAGGGGAAGCGGCTCTCATATGATGTTGGGAGGCCGCGGGCGGTGAGGAATTTGAAGTGTGGGGAC